TCGGGAAGTTGGAAGGCAGCCTGTTGGCAGAGGCCCTGGTGCTAGTGAGTGCTCCATGAGCTAGATAATGCTCCATGAGCTAGATAGTGCTCCCTGAGCTAGTTAGTGCTCCATGAGCTAGTTAGTGCTCCCTGACTGGCGCCGTGGCCGTGACATGTTGGTGCCGGGCACGGTGGGGGACAGCGTGACCCGGTCCCATCTGGAGCTCTGGGCTTTGTGGGCTGGCTGTGAGAGTCACTTGCAGCTGAGAACTCATAGGAGAATATAAAGGGACACTCTATAAATATTGCCCCTGGGGACAAGGGTGGCAGAGGCCTCAAGCCCTGCCTGGCACCATGGGCTCAGGAGAAGCCAGGTGGGCTTGGGAGGGGCAGGGACTTCTGTGACCCACGGAAGTTTCCTCCTTCTCTGGTGCCGGCCTGAGGTCCGGGTGGCTCCCTGGGCTTCTGGGGTGAGCGTCCAGCTGGGCCTGGCTCTCTCAGGTCATCCCGGAGACTCTGGGATCCATGACTGCTGGAGGGGAGCCCCCAGCCTCCCGCAGTCAGAGTTGCCACCCACAGCTTCGAGTTGGGGAACCCAGGTCCAGAGATAGTGGGGTATCAGGCCCAGAGCCACACAGCCGGCCATGGGGCAGCCGGGATTCGAACTGAGGTCTGCAGGCAGGCCAGGGCCCACATGCTGGTAAGTACTGACAGGGGCTACGCCCTTGGCTGGGACTGGATGACCAGGAAGGCGGCGGAGCCCAGGCTCAGGGCACCAGCAAGGTGGGAGAGGGCAGAGGGAGAGGGAAACAGGGTGGGAGGGCAGGGAAGGTCAAGTTGGGGGGGGGGATGAGGAGGAGAGACAAGAGGGTGCAGAAGGGGGACGTGGGGAGGGCTTTGTCCTGAGCCCCTGGAGCTCTGACAGGCCCCTCTGACTCAGGGTGACCCCACCACCTGCCCCTCCCCCACACTTTCAAGCCCACCTGCCCTTTGCTGAGAGGTTGGGGGGCTGCGCTCACCCTCCCACGAGCTTCAGCCCTGGGGGCCCCTCCAGCCTCTTCCCTCCTCCTCCCCGTCAGGCCCATCCTGTCCTGTTCCTTACTGGCTTCCTCCAGCCCCCGCCCCCCAACTGTGCCTCCTTAATCCGGGCCACAAGCAGCTGGAGGGACCACCACGTACAGCCTCCAGCCCTGTCTGTCTCCTGCTGTGAGCCCTTCCCCAGCTCCCGGGTGGTCCAGGTAGAGTCTAACCGTGCGGGGGCCAGTCTGGTCCCGGTTTCTGTTCAGTAAGTCTTGCTGTTCCAGGCCAGGCCCCCTCCACACCCACTCCCAGTTCACTCCATGCATTTTGCGGTCCCTCCCATCAGGACGGTCTCCCCCACTGCCTGGTGGATGTCCCCCCACAGCCCCTCCTCCCAGGCCCCCCAGGTCCCCCCTCCCACGCCCCTACCGCAGCCCTCAGCGCTTTGCCCCATGAGGAAGTCATTTCTTCCTCTGTCTGCCCTGCCTCCCTCAGACTCTGATTCATCCCTGTTTCTCCAGAGCCCGGCGCCGTCGGCCTGGAACCCGGTGCCGGAAGAGCGTCTTCTCCCCAACGAGGCCCTGTGGAATCTGGCTTTTCTCCTGGAGGGAAGTCGGTGGATTTTAGGCAGAGGAGGCTGTGTTCACAGCTGTCTGGAAGATGCCGAATGAGGTGGGAACCACACCACCAGACAGGGAAGGGGAGAAAGGATCCCCGCTCGGCTCGTGGGGTCCATCCTTTCTGGTGAATGTGGGTCCAGAGAGGGTCAGCCACTTGTCCAAGATCACACAGCAATATGGGGCAAGGCCGGGACTTGGGCCCAAATGCATCTCACTCCGAGGCTTCCCTCTTCGGCCATTCAGGGAGGTCTGGCAGGGCCGGGGGTATGCAGGTGGGAGTGGCTGGGTCTCGCTGCCCCTCGGAGGCCAGGCTGTCAGGACATTCCAGGTGGTCCTTTCATCTTGTGGAAGGAGGGGCTCAGGCTGCCGGGTGGGGGCAGGCCTGCCTTTGATTCTTTGATGCTCACACTTTGTGGACCCCTGGGGACGCCTGAGTCATCGCTGAGCCGGCAAACATATTTAGCTCCTTTCACCGTCCCTAATAAATCCATTTCTCCAGGTCTCCACACCTGCCACTCCCCAGCTCCTGCCCCCTGGCGTCTGGGCGCAGGGCCCCCGTGCCGGCTCGGGGTCACCAGGCCAGAAGTGCTCCCACTCCCCAGGCGCGGGGTGGGGGGCCCTTTGCCTTCTTAGAGCCCCCTGCCTTCTCCTGCTCCGTCCCAGGGCATCGTGCGCCAAGCTTGTCCTCCCCAGTTCTGCGATGGCCTCTGTTCAGTAGCCTTGTTACTGGATCCCAGTCAGAGCGTTGTGACAGGGCATGGCGGCCTGAGAGACTCAAGAGGTTACAGCGTTGTGCACGCAGCTCAGCCCCTGCCGGGGCCCAGCCTCCCTCAACCTTGCATCCTCTTGGCCTGCTGGGGCTTGTGTTTGGGGCCTGAGGGAGTCCCTGAAATATCTTGCCTTGTCATGCATCCTTGTCTTGGCTCCTCCGGGCCCCCCTGGCTGGAAGAGCCAGGCCTCCACCGAGCTTATCTTTCATGGGCACCTCTTCCAAGAAGCTTTCCCAGATCTTCACCTCCCCTGCTGTGAATCTTTTCTCCTCCAATGGCCCAGCCTGTTTTATGTCTCTGTGAAAGCACGTATACAGTTCGCCTTGTAATAATCATAAGAGCAGGTAACATGACCTTGACTGCGTGCTCAACACCGTTCTAAGTATTTTGCATATGTTTAATTGTTCCCATTTTATCGATGGGAAATCTGAGGCTCAGAGAGCTGAGGAAACTTGCTTAAGACACAGGGTAGAGTTGGGCCTTGAACCCAGGCCCTCTCCCTACCGCCCCCTGTGCCTTTCGCAGTAAGTGGCTTTTGCGGCACCTTTTCAGTTGTCACCCACCCTTGCCGCCCACAACATTCTCAGTTCCTCCCAGGGCAGGGGCGAACTGTATCCGTGCTTTCACAGAGACATAAAAAAGGCTGGGCCATTGGAGGAGGAAAGATTCACAGCAGGGGAAGTGAAGATCTGGGAAGGCTTCTTGGAAGAGGTGCCCATGAAAGATAAGCTCGGTGGAGGCCTGGCTCTTCCAGCCAGGGGGGCCCGGAGGAGCCAAGACAAGGATGCATGACAAGGCAAGATATTTCAGGGACTCCCTCAGGCCCCAAACACAAGCCCCAGCAGGCCAAGAGGATGCAAGTTTGAGGGAGGCTGGGCCCCGGCAGGGGCTGCACTGGCCCACGTCCGAGAGCCCCTTGCACAGGCAGGTCCCTGTTAAAGGTCTGCATCAGGGAACTGGCATGCCCAGCCCTTCAGGGAGGGGGAGCACGTCCTGGGGAGAAAGCTGCTAGGTCAGGGCCCCACAGCCAGATGGCGAGAGCCGGGTACCCGACTCCAAGGCTGAGCAGGGCGACTGTGCCCACCGTGAGGGGGAGGGGAGGCCGCGCTCGTCTGTGCCCGTGGGCGTCCGTTGGGCTCCTCAAGCCAGCAGGTCCCAGTCGACCAGTGCCTCCCGTTCCAGGACGCCCAGGCCGATGCTCTCCTCTGGGCAGAGGTCTCGTCCCTGCACGGGGCAGCCGGTCGGCTCTCCAGTCTGGCTGCATCGCCGAACTCTCATCCACGCGTGGTGGGAGCCCCCTGCTGGCCGGATCCAGGAGTGGCAGGATGCTGGGAGGGTGGCGGAGGCCACTGGGGAAAGGGCAAGGGGGCCTGGGTCAGCAAGCCCACTGCCCCCCTCGATTGGGATGCGGCCCTGCCCACCTCTTTGGCCGTTTCCCCCCACCCCCAGCAGCACCAGCATTCTCACGGTGCCCTTTGCCCCAAGACGTTTGTACCTGCTCATGCTGAGGCCCAGAGGGGCTTCCTCAGTTGACTTCAGTCTAACCAAGAATCAGTGTGCACCTACTGTGCACCAGGCACTGAACAGTGACAGTCTGGCCTGCAAGGAGTTCCCAACGTGTGTGTGGTGGGGGATGAGCTCCCTGCAATATTGAGGGGGGCCCTTTCCCCCAGCTGGCTGCCACACTTGAGCACAGCTCCTCCGAGAAGCCTCCTGGATTGCCCCTCTGCCCAGCCCAGCCGTCTGCTGGCTCCTGTGTCCCTGCTGTGACACAGCACAGGTTGGCCCCACCTGCCACTGCTCCTTGGCACCTGCCTCCCCCGCCAGACCTGGGCTCCTTTGGAGGGCAAGGGCTTTGTCTTGATCGTCTTTGATGGCTGGTTCTGTGCATGGAGCTAGTATATAGTAGGCGCTCAATAAGCGTGGGCTGAAGGAAAGAATGTGTGGGTAAGTCGATCAGCTCAGTGCCTTAAGGTCTTCCAGGAGTGGCTCCAAGGTGGAATTTCAGGCAGGGGGCTGGGTTAGGGTGTGGGGCCCCCCTCAGTACCCTGCACATCCGGAGGGGTGGCCTAGAATTCAGGTCCACCAGGATGTAAGCCCCCTGCCAGCAGGGATTCTGTCTCATCCCACGGGTGCCTGGAAAAGCGTCTGGAACACCATAGGTACTTAATAAACACGGTGGAAAGCACAAATAAATGAAGGCTGCCGAATTCAAGCCCCTCCGAGACACCCAAGTGATCTCTGGAATCAGCCTGTGCTTGCATCCCTCCATAGACAGGGAGCTCATTATCTCTCTCCTGAGGCAGCAGCTCTGTCTCTCTTCAGACAGCGCTGCCTACTGCGACGTTCTTTCGTCTTTCCCTGGTCCTGGCAGAACCAGCTCACTCTGCCCCTGCTCAGAGGGACCCTGTCCCACGTCCAGCCGCTGGGCTGGAGACACGTCTGTCCAGCATGGCAGCCCCGGTGCCCTGAGGATGAGGCTCCAGGGCCTCTGAGAGCCCACTCTCCCCTATCTGGCCCTCCTGGCCTCAGCTGAGAAGGGGCTGAAGGTGAAGGGCAGGGTGGGGTCGAGGAGGCCAGATGCGGTCACGGAAAGGACAGAGCCCCACTCACGAGGTGAATTATGAGCTTTATTCTCTCTTCCAAAGGATCCCAGAAGAGCCACTCATGCCCAGAGAGTCACTGATTGCACCCCCTCCACGATGGGGGAGGAAGCTGAGGACCAGAGAGGGGAAGGGAGTGGACTAAGATCACACAGCCAGCATATGCCAACGGCAGGAGAGGACCTCAGACCTCATGACCCTCAGCCCAGTGCTCCTTCCGTGACCCCTGGCTGCCCCTTCAGGGGCCACATGAGGCGGCAGAGGTGGCATTCAGCTCCCTGGCTGACATGCGGTCTGTAGAAATCTTCATATGTCCTGCAATGTCTCCTCCTGCAGGCGCCCCACTCAGACCCTCTTCTGCGCCATATCATTACCAGGCGCTTGCACACCTCCAGAGATGGGGATCTCACCCCTCACACACAAGGCGGCTGCTCTATCCTGACTCCGTGGAAGGCATGCACATGTGTCTGGGGATGAGGGGCAACCTCTCCTCCCCTGGGGAACACGCCCTGCTCCAGCCCGCCCCCTCAGGCTGGCAGTGGGGCAAAGGCAAGCTCACATCTTGCTTTCCTGCCAGGGAACTTCCTCCAGGGGCTCCCCAGGGCCTGTGTGTGGGGTGAGACGCTTCTGAGAAGCCTGGTGGTGGAATGCTTCTCCGGGCTGGGGCCTCTGTGGGGACCGAGCTGCCTGCCTGTGTGCTGACAAGTCGGCTCAGCTCTTGACGGTGCTGCTGTGGGGGTCTCAGGATGCTGCGACCCAGATGGGGCAGCCCTCACCTCCACGGGACCCCTGGCCAGTGGCCTAGCAGGGAACCTGGGGCTGAGACTCTGCCACAAGCTTGTGTGTCACTTATTGGTGTGGCCCCTGCCTCCAGGCAGCCCTCCTGGTAACCAGAGCTCATAAAGCTCTCTTCTTGGCTTTTTGGTTGTACCACTAGTCCTGCTTGAGTACGTCCATCTAGGATGCTCTCTGCCATTTTCTTGAGGAGTCCCACCTGCTGCTCCTCCCAAAGGGACACCCTTGAGGGTGGAGCCCACTCTGCTCTCGGCTCCCCAGCCGCCTTCAGTCCAGAGCCCCCTCCAGCTCAGTAAGTGCATCTCCAGCCAGAAGCTCCTTAGGGAGACCCCGTACGATCCTGTCCTTCTACTGAGAGGAGGGAGGCGGCCAGCTCGCGCACTGCTGGGACTGCAGGGGGCCTGTGCCTGCCTTTGCCGGTGGGGGGCGAGTGGCCGCAGAGCCAGAAGGGGCCCAGACATTTCTATCCAAACACTGCAGTTTTCTAAGCACCAGAGAGGAGTGTGACTCGGCAGAAGGCACACAGCAAGTTGGAGATGGAGCTGGGTCGGAGACTGCGGGGTGTGGACTCCGAGTCCGGTGCTCCTGGCGCCTCCGAGCGGTTCTGTCCACGGGCCTGAGCTCTGTGTGTGTGTCCCTCGGGCAGGGAGGGCCAGGCCCCAGCTGAAGACAGGGAGGGGCTGGCCGAGAAAGGCCCTGAGCAGAAGGAGGAGCGTGGCCATTGCTGGGGCAGGAAGCACTCGGGGACCTGGCCGTCCCCCTGCTTTGAGGGCCGCCAGCACTTCAGAGTGCAAGGAGACATTTAACAGAACAGGAAACCGAGGCCCAGAGGACAGGGTGCCGGTTCAGGGCTGGCTTCCCTCCGGCCGCTTGCCTCATCCCTAGCTGTGGGGGACCCGGGGCCTCTCCTGGCGGCAGCTGGGTGCCGAGGGCCAGGGGCTCACTGCCGGTTCTGAGGCCTCGGGGGGTCCGCCTACCCTTCTGGGCCCTGCCTCCCCCTCCTGTCAGCCCGAAATGTGGGAGGGGGAGGATGCGTGCGGGCCAGGAAAAGGCGCCCTGGGTGGGAGGTGGGTGTCCAGGTACCACAGGCCATGGCGTTCCCAGGACGCTGGCCCCCGGCACCCCCTCCAGGCAGCTCAGTGCTTGCTGGCTATCTTCTTCTTCCGAGCAGAGACCAGGTCGTAGAAGGGGTCCCGGGTGATGCTGGCTCTGAAAGGAGAGCAGGTGAAAGGATTCCGGGGCTGAGCCGGAGGCCAGGGGGTCTTGTCTCCTGGGGTTCGTAACAGGGGCGCACAGGGAAAGGCCAGATGACCCCAACAAGGACCAAGCCTGGGTGAGTCCACCCTCGCTGGCCTAACGCAGGGTCCAAGGGCAGGGCCAGAGTGGGTGAGACTCAGAGCCCGGAGCCTTGGGAATTCTGTCCCCAAATGTCTCTGGACCCTCTTCAGGCTCCCATCAGACTGTTAGCGGGAGGTGGAAAGAGCCCACGTGGAGCCAGCAGACCTGCTTGCGGTCCCGGCTCTGCCCTTCACTGGCTGTGTGGCCCTGGGCAAGTCCCTCCCCTCTCTGGGCCTCAGGTCCTCCTCTGTAAAATTGAGGTGAGGATGGGTTTGGCTCCACAGCATCCCAGGGCTGCTGCAGGGCCCCAGGGAAAAGACCCTGCAAGTCCCCAGGACACGCCCCTGGCCCCGTGTTGATTCCCATGTCTTCCTGTGGCCGGCAGAACCCGTCCTCGCCATGTCTCCTCACTGACTCAGAGTCAAGGTTGTCATCCCGCCCCTCCCCTGGAGGCCCTCCACCTGTTCCCCGCTGCCCATCTTGGCCCCTCAGAACCACCCCTGCACTGTGGCCTTTCTCACCTGGCCATTCCTCTTCTCTGTTACCTGCCTGTGGCTCCCCAGTGCCCCCAGGAGAAACCCAAGCTCATTGCCGTGGCGACCAAAGCCTTGCCATCCTCTGCATCCTCACCTCCCTGATGCTGCGTGGTCCCCACACAGCCAGGCTCATGCTGCCCGGCACCAGCCACCCAGGACTCTGAGGTGCTGTCTGGGGAGGCCACACACTGACTTCACCCGCACTGGTCCTTCCACCCGGAGAGCCCTGCGCCGTCCGCCGCCTCCACTGGTCTTTCTGGGGCCACTTTGGATCCTGATTCTAAAGAGCGCCATTCACGAGCACTTCCCAAGGGCCAGGCGCTGGGCAGAGAGCGCTACCTGGGACATCCCGTGGATCCTCCCAACTTGAAGGTGGGCCTCCCGTCCCTGTGTCCCGGGCCTGGCACCGTGCCGGCACCAAGGGGGCTCATGGAGTGTGGTTGGACGGGCTTTGCATGCCGTCACGGGGAGAGAGAGTCTCGAGTTATGACCCGACAGACACGGAAGCAAGGCCCCGAGAGAAGCAGGGGCTCCAGAAGGTGACAGGAGGCCCGGCCCCACCTGGCCAGCCCTTACTGTATGGCCTCGATCCACTGGTCGCGCTCCTCAGCGCTGGAGGCCGAGATCCGGTAAGACTCGTGCTTGCCCTCCACCACCTTGCCGTCGCCGTCCGTCTTGCAGGCCTTGATCTTCTGGCCCCGGCAGCTGGGGTTGTAGAGCTCCAGACAGAACTGTGGAGGCGCCAGGTGAGGGCAGGGCAGGGCACGCCGGAGGGGGCGGCCGCGCTGGGCCCCGGGGCACCTCAGACAGGACTGGACCCTTGGGCAAGGCCAGCGCTGGGACGAGCAGCAGGACACACCCGCCCAGGCCTGCTTCCCGTGGGAGGCAAGGGACACGAGCTCCTCACGAGAGAACTGACTGTGGGCCGGGTTTGCCCTAAATCCCCCGTTCTTCCCCAAATCTGCAGGCTGATGGGGAAGCTGAGGCTCAGAAAGGAGCACCCAGCCAGTGTCAGAGGAAAGCTCTGAATGACCGTGAGGCCGTCCCCGTTTGGGGCCATTGACTTGCCCCCAGGGTCCTCAGCCCCAGGAGGGAAACCGAGACAATGCTGCGCGCCCCCCGAAGGTGTGGTGGGCACAGCCGAGCCTCCTGGAGAGCCCAGCCCAGCCGCCCTCCCGTCCACTGTTTCAGAAAGTACCCCCACTCAGGCCTAGGGCCCCTCCCAGCACCTACTGGCTTCTTGGGGTCCTCCACCTTCTGCACGGAGAGGTTCTCGAGGGGGATGATTCCCCGTGGCTCCTTGTCCTGCAGGGGCACCGGAGGGAAGGTCAGGGGCAGCAGGTGAGGCCTTGAGGGCGACGGCAGGCAGTGAACTTGTGGGACTCCCCAGACCCAGAGAGAAGGGTACCCCTCTTCCCAGACTCAGCTCAGCCCTGGAGGGGGTCGGGGGAGGGGCTTGGGAAGAGCCCCGACCGGGGGTCAGGAGCTCCGACTTGAAGCCCAGGCTCTGCCCTGGACCTTGGCCCAGCCCCTTCTCCTCTCCCAAGCTCAGTTTTCCCATCTGTAGGATGGGTGTGGAGGTGGACGGGGGTCATCTCCTAGGGGCCCCGAGCTCTGTTAGCCGACTGCTCGGTGCGAGTCCGGAAGAGCTGGGGGCGGGGGCGGCTGGGGGCTGGGCGGGTCTGGGGGCTGGGCTGGGGGGCGGGGCGGGGCGGGGCGGGCTCACAGTGGTGAACTCGAAGTAGTAGAGGCAGTTGTCGGTCAGGATGAACCAGCGCCGTTTCCACGTCTTCACGCGGCCCCCTGGGCGAGGCGGACAGCGTGCTCAGTCCTCCTCTCTGGGCCACCTTCCCTCCACGGAAGAGCAGGGCCTCGGACGCTGCCCCGCTCCCAGCCTGCCACACTTTCCTCCAGATCTACCCCTTCCTCGCTCAGCGGCTCCCGTCACCCCCTGAGCTGCCTGGCTCGGCGCTCGAGGCTCTTCTGTGACCAGGCCCCGGGACAGTGGCTGGCCGTTCCCTGCACCTTCCTGCTGCCCTCGCCCCTCGGGCATCCCCTGGCCTGCTCCCTGCCCGGCACGTGCTAATTGGTTCATCTTTCATATGCCAGGCAATGTTCTAGAGGCTTAAAAAAGAATTCACTTATGAGTCCCCGTGACCACCGATGAGGAAGGGACCACTGTCAACCCCATCTTGCAGTGAGGGCAGCGAGGCTCAGGGAGGCCAAGTCCTCTGCCCGGGCCTGCTGTGGAGCTGAGATTCGAACCCCAGCGTCCTGGCGCCAGACCTAAGCACTTGGCCATTTTACTACACATTTAACCCTCCCGGTGACTACCATCCCCATCTTGCAGTGGGGAAACTGAGGCTGAGGAGCCTGGACCCCGGTCCTGGGGGGAGGAGCTGGGATCTGTGACTTAGAACCTCCCTGGGGCCAAGGACAGTCAGCTGGGCAGGAAAGGAGGCTGAGCTGTCTTAGGGGAGGGACGGCCTGGGACGTGGGCACGGAGAGACAGGGCTGGGATGGCCCCCAGGCCCAGGCCGCTGCTCCAGCACAAGGCGTCTCTGCTCACTCGCCTCGGAAGGCTGCCGCCCCTGCTGGGCTTCCCCTGCCGGAAGGCATCCAGGAGTGTAGGGGGCAGGGGCAGGTGCTGGGCCCAGTGGGTAACCTGCAAGATTCTGCAGCTGCCACCCCCGCCACCGCAGCACCCGCCCAAGGCTCCTCTCTGCAGGCCAGGCCTCCCTGTCCCTCATCATGCTGAGGGGAAGCACCCGGGAGCCACATCCTGTCACACTCCCTCCCCCGCCCTTCAGGGACACTCAACCCTCTGCCCACCAAAATCTGCCGCTTGCTGGCTGTGTGGCCTCAGGCAGGTGCCCTAACCTTGCTGATCCTTGGTTTCCTCAGAAGACCTCTGGGAAGAGACAGAACTGCAGCTGAAGGGTTTGTCTATGGATCCACACGTCAGTCTCTCATTCCCCTTCCTACTTGTCTTTCCCCACCCCCCGACACCCCGTGCCCTTCGTTCGCAGGACAGACAGACGGACGGATGGGGCAGGCAGACTCCTGCACTTGGAGTCAGGAGACATGGGGCCTCCACCCTTGAGGCTGCATGTCAACGTGTGTGCATGTGTCAGCCGTGTGCCCAAGTATGCATGAGTGTGTGCATGAGTGTGTGCATGAGTGTGTCAGCCATGTGCCCGAGCGTGCCCGAGCATGCATGAGTGTGTGCATGAGTGTGTCAGCCATGTGCGCGAGCGTGCCCGAGCGTGCATCTCACCCAGCTTGAGCAGCCAGCCCTCGCGGTCCGGCTTGAAGAAGGTGTGAGTGAGGTCGTTGCCGTCGTCCTCAGGGATGGAGAAGGGCTCGCTCTTGATGCTGTCAAAGAGGTTCTGTGCGGAGAGAAGGGAGGGGAGGACCTGGCTGTGACACCCAGGCCTGGCCTGTGTGGCCCCGGGCAGGTCACTGTCCCTCTGGGCAAAGTCCTTCCCCTCCTGTTAGCTCACCGTTGGTCCCTGGCCTTCTTGGTGGAAACCTCCTTGGTTCCCCCACCCCCGCCCCTACGTCATGACCCCCCGCCCCACAGTACTGGAGGCAGGCGAGTGGGGGTCAGCACCCCAGGGAGACGGCGCCCGGCTGCCGCACCGTGGCCCCCACACCGTCGGCATCTCCATGTCAGTTTGCTTGCTGGGGTTGACCTCCCGGAAGAGATGGGGAGCTCCTCCAGGGCAGGCCTGGGTGTCACAAGCCCGGGTCTCACCGGGGGCCAGGCCTAAAGCAACTGCTTGCTGACCCAGTGGATGATGGTTCCTACCCCTGCCCCCCGTTGGAAGTCCAGCCAGGGGCATGAAAACGCACGGCGGGACGAGAGCACCGGCTTTGGTGTCAGGCCGCCTGGGTTAAAATCCCAGCTGGGTCACTCAGCGTCTGTGTGACCCTGGGCATGCCCCTCAACCTCTCTGAGCTGCTGTGTGCTCGTGGGAAAAATGGACAGAAGACCGCTGAGTGGCCAGGGATCTGGGGGAAGTAAATGGCCTACACAGGCCTGGGAGCCCTGCTTTCCCCCATCCCTGGGAAGGTGACGAGGAGGGCGGAGGACAGCCCCCACCCTCACCTGGGCCACCCAGCACCGCTCCTACGGCTCCGATGAGTGAGCCGGGGACCGTCCCCCCGTGTCTGAGAGTGCTGGAGACAGGACGCTCTGCTGGAACCCGGACACCCCATACATGTTCACCTGTGCGTACACTTGTGTGTGAGCGTGCACATATATACAGACACGCAGACACAGACATGCACACTCTGGGGCACAGCAGCCAAGGTCAGGGCCAGAAAGCAGATTAGTTCTCCAAGGACCACTTCCCAGAAGTTAGTGCTGCTGAAATATGGAAGGAGCAAACTTGTAGGGTAATGAGTTCCTTGTCACCAGAGGTATGCAAGCCACTGTGGTGACCTCCCTGTGGGCCAGCTGTGGATGTCGGTGCTGGATCACCCCTGTGTGATTTGAACCCTCTGCCACGGGGCACTGCATTCCACGAACAACCTGCCCAGATTTCCAAGTATTTGGAGAAACATTCTAAACTGTCTCTTTCTGCTCATTCAGACCAGACCCAGGGCTGGGTCTCCACATCTAAGAGCATGAAACCATTTCCTCCTGTTGCGTTTGTGTGCGCTGCTGCTCAGGAGGTAGCTTCGAAATCTTAAATGAAGAATTTCACAAGTACTGTTGGACTCCCCCAAAGTTTTAGAGGCCGTGTTTGCTGGTTTTTAAAGGTCTTTTCTGACCTGAGCTCGGGGGTCTGGGCCGGGTGGGGGCGGGGCTGGTGCAGGCCAGAAGTGGATTTTCCTGGGCTTATGGAGGTGTCTTCCGGCTTCAGACTCCAGAGGCCCTGGGCTCAGCCTGGCTGTGGGGTGGGTGTGGGAAGAGCAGGGACCACGTTCTCTTTTCGGAGCCCCTGCCCCACCCAGCAGGAGGGCGGCCGCGCTGCCCCTGCCCCCCAGGCCCCGCCCGGCCCTGGCAATTCCCAAGTGGCACCGGCTGGTGGAACAAGGGTCTGCGGCAGGAAGGCCTTTGTCAGCAAAGCCATCAACACAGACAAATATTTGGGAGGCCCAAGGAGGCGGGAGGGGAGCAGAGGGGGCCTCGGCCGTATCAGCCTGCGCGCTCTGCCCCCACAAGGAAACAGCTCAGTGCACCCACATTTCCTGTATCTTGTAAACAGCGGCCCTCCCGCCCCCCAAGAAACACCCCTACACCAGGCACCACCAAACCATCCGGCCCTGCCGGCTCCTGGCTGGGGGGACATGATCAGAAAGACAATGGCCACCTTCCGGTGCTTCTGCTGGACTTGCATCCATCCATCCCCACCCCCTCAGTTCTCCTCTGGGGAGCCCCCCACTTTCTGAGCAGATTGCTCACGGGGTCGACACCCATTGCTCCTCGCCCCCAGGCTCCAGGAGGGGCTGAAGGACTCCCATGGGGCTAATCAGAGCATTCCGTCCTGCTGGCCAGTGACTGGTTCAGGGAGGGCCATGTGCCCCCAGCCAGCCAACAAGCCTTAATTCTGGGACTTTGGTTTAAATGGTTAAGCACCATGGCAGTCTGGAACTGCCTGAGGCCATTTCTGCCGCAGCGCAGCATGGGGAGGCCCTGTTTAAGTGGGAAGCTGAGGGAGGAGAGGGATGCTGAGAGATGGAGAGACCAGATTGAGCCCTGACCTCACTGGATGCAGCTGAGCCTGAAGCCTGATCTTTTCTGTTACGTGTGTTGAGATTCCTCCAGCTGGGAAGCAACCGGCAGCTGGGAAACACAGCTAAGTTCTCTGTCCCCAAATCTTGCCTCCCGGTCTCCGCAGAGGGGTGGGCTCTGGAGTCAGATAGACGTGGGTTCGAATCTGGACTCCTCCCAAACTACGAGAGCCCTGGCCAGCTCCCTCTCTTGGAACTCAGTTTCCCTCCCTGTAAACTGGGGATGGCACCTGCTGCCGGAAGTTGTCGGAGGACTGAATGAGACCATAGGGTGCCTGGTGCACGGTCAGTCCTGATGGAGACGCTCAGACAAGGACCCAGGAGGTCCGGGGCTGCCCACAGCAGAAGACGCCCTGAACTGGGAGACCGTTCCCCCGCCCGGGCCTCAGTTTCTCCAGAGGCTGGAGAGCCCTCTTCTGGCCCCCTCCTCCTCCCCTCTCCCAGCTCCCTCTGCAGGTGGCTCTTAAGGTGAGTGTTCCCCTCTCAGCATCTCTCGGGTGCCTGCCACGTGCCAGGCACTCGCCTGCTTCGCAGGAGAACAACGTGAGGTCAGTGCCGTCAGCCCACTTCGCAGACGGGGCCCCCAAGGCTCCCGCTCAAGGTCACAGCCGCAGAGCTGGGGTTTGACGGCCTGTCCTCCGGGTTCTCACCTGGTGCCTTCGCCCTGAGCCTCTCAGGCACTGCCCGGCCCCATCAGGGCGGCCAGGGGGAGCCCGGCTCAACCCGCCTGTCCCCCGACTGCCACCGCACGGCTCCCAAGGCCTGTCCCAGCCGCGCACCCTGCGGTCTGCGCACTCTGGAGGGGACCTCTCTCCAGGTGACGTATCTGTGTCAATTTAATTTCGTCAGCCAGGCCACTTAAAAGGGTCATGTGTCCTTGGCAGGGCCCGAGCTGGAGGAGCTTTAGGGAGAAGCCTCGCGCAAAGCGGCAAACTGAATATCTGCATCAGGCGCTTAAGGCGGAGTCCTTGGTTTACCTGTGGGCAAGATGAGGCCCAGAGAGAACTCGAGAAGACCCCCCCCGCCCAGCCACTCCACAGCAGCTGCCGTGAAAGCCGTGAACAGCAAGGGCCAGGCCTGTGCGTTCCGTTGATGGTGCCCTGGAAAGCCTCGGGACTAATTAGCCACTCCAATTACACCGGGCACTTCTGCACCTCACATTTCTGCACTCATCCTATGAGCTGGGAGCTCAGAGAGGTCAAGCCACTTACCTAACATCACACAACCAGAAAGCGGGGGAGCCAGGATGTGGCTGCGACTCCAGTGCTCTGTTCTGCCCCTCCCCCCTCACTCCCTCGCTGAGCGCCTGCCTCTTTCGCTGCCAAAGAGGATGATAAACCGGCCCCAGACCTCCCAGGCAGAGTGTGAAGCTAAATTGAGATAATAGACCCGAAAGCCCTTCGAGAGGAAAGTTATAAACTCTATACAAACCCAGTGCATTGTTACTAACAAAAGGCTGGAACTGGGGATAATGCCTAAGGAGGGAAACCTGGAGGGGCCGGGGCTGAGGCGGTAATGTGGCGCCTGGGACGAGGGACGGGATCCTTAACTCCTTCCCTGCCAGACACGCTGTGCGCGCTTCCCGCCGCGAACACCACCAGGAGATGAGGACCTGTGCAAACGCCTTTTTCTTTTCCGTGTCAGGCATTTTCCTCAGTGCTGGGGTTTAAAAATTATTATTAATTATGCTTAATAGTGACATCAACCGCCCCTTAGAGCTTGTGCTATGTACCTGACATAAGCTGTGACCTTTACATTTTTAAAAATTGCTACTCACAGCAGCTCTCTGACGCAGGTGTCATGATCCCGTCCCCCTGGTCCAGGGAATGGTGACATGGGGAGGGTGGGTCATTACCCAAGGTCACCCCCAGGCTAACGATCTGAGCTCTAGCCAACGAAAGCCCTCATTCTATGTTGTGACCCCCTCCCCATGATGAACTTTCTCCCTGGGGACAAAGGAGGGTTGTGGGCTAAGGGTGGAGCCCTTCTCAAACGCCGAGGGGCGCCAGAATCATCCCAGACCCGGGCTCCCCAGATCTTGGTGTTCACACCCTCTCCTCCTCCTGCTGGGCTCTGGCTGGGAGCGGCCTGACGCTTTCCTGGTAGAAATGAACTGTCAATTCGTTTTTGCTAAGTCAGTCTCTGAATCTCTGGCTCCCGTGTTTACAAAACTGCTCCTGTCTCTGAGTTGCCCACAGGACACAGACAAACTCCCGAGGCTGGCGTTCGCAGACCTGGACATTCTGGCCCCACCTTAGTGCCCATCACTGTACATACATACCCGTGCCCCCCCCCCCCCCCAGCCAGTCACTCTGGACGCCCCTCCCTTTCCCAACCAGGCCAGGTCTGGGTTCTGGCCGCTTCCTCTTTTTGGAACACCCTTTCCCTACATTTCCTCTGGGAAAACTCCTATTCAACCTACAAGGCCCAGTTCAAAAGTCACCTCCTCTGTGGAGTCTTCCAGGATGGCACCCTCCCCCTGTCCCCAGGTCGGTGATAGTAGTGTCCTCTGTGTCTCCAAAACTACGTTCCCATGGTCAGCCCGCATGACTCACGCAGGGCTGTGACTCACATCAGTATCCTCTTCCTAGCAGAGGGACCCTGAACTTGGGCTGGGCAGGCTCATGATTCATCGGCCCTGGGTCCCCGTGCCGGGCACAGGGCCTGGTGCAGTGTGGCAGGGGTGGGGCCGTTTGATGAGGAGACAGAGGCCCGGATTCTGCCTGGCTCTCGAGCTGACACGAAGCCTCGGGGACACCTTGGTTTCCTCCTCTCTGAAGGGAGAGGACTTGAGCACAGAGTCTGAGATTTCCGGCTCCGACACACAGAGTCGACGAATTGGGATGCTCAGAAACAGCCCTGGGCTGTGTGAGGCATCCTTTCTGGAAGGTGCATGACCAGAGTCCCCCAGAGCCTGAAGTCTGGGAGGACCTCCCCGGGGCGTCCATCTCTGGACGTCCTTCTTAAGTGGGTGCCACGTGGATGGGCCCATCTCAGTGCCAGCCTCGTTTGTGGCGGTCCCTCTCGGCAGAGCCTCCTCTTGGAGCAGTCTATCTCGGAGGAGCCCCTCTTGGGCCATCCACCTAAGGCCAGGCGCCTCCCGGATGCCTGGGGCCCAGGCTGGGTGCGGCCGCGCCCCCCCTTACCCGCAGCTGCTCCTCCGGGAGGTCGCTGCCGCCGTTGATGCCGCGGTTCATGGACACGAAGCGCTCGAAGGGCGGCCTGTCCCGCACGTTGGGGTTGTGCAGGCTGGTGTTGAGCATGATGATGGAGAAGGAAAGGACGTAGCAGGTGTCTGCGGGATGGGACAGCGGGTCAGTCCTGGCCCTGGTCACTCTCCCCTCCTTGCCTGACCCCTTCTAGAGCCCAAGGATCACCCGTCTCAAGGTCTCAAAGGTCTCTGCTGATCTCCTGACTTGGCACTCGAGGCCTGGCCTCACCTCCCCTCTTCCTGGACTCCCTTCTCCAAGCAAACGTCAGCCGCCACGTTCCCCGGCCCCGCTGCGCGCTCCGCTCCTGCCAGGTCCCCGCCAGGCCTGTCCCGCCTCCTCTTTTCACCGCTGTCACCCTGCTCCTCGCACAGCTCCAGCTCCAGCCTCTCCCTGCCGAGCCCTGCCAGCCCCCTGCCCACTCTGTTCTCTGCCTCCTCGGAGCTCGGAGAACACTCATTGTTGGCAGCAACGACAATACCACGTGCCGCGTGGCAATCTCGCTGGCACCGTGGGGCTCCTGGCCGGGCTCCGCTCCGTTGTTCAGACCGTCATGCGCTCGGGAGTGAGGCTGGGCTGAGCCTCTGGGAGGGAGGGGATCGCTACCCTGGGTCCCCTGTGGTGCTTTTAGGATCCAGAGCTGGGGAAGTCCAGCTGCGTCTCCAACTCTCCGGTTGACCTTGGGAGAGTACTTGACCTCTGAGCCTCAGCTTCCCCAACTGTGACGTCAGGAGGTTTAACTCTGAGTAGCTTCACGTTCTAGAACATGGATGACCGACCTCTGATCACGGTGGCACCTAATGCTGGCGCTTGCCCCGAGCTAAGCTCTTTACATCCTCACGACAATCCTGTGAAGCAGGTACTGTTACCACCCCATTTGACAGATGGGGAAACTGAGGCACAGGGAGGGTAAGTGACATGCCCGAGGTTACAGAATTAAGTAGTTGGACTATGAGTCAGATTTGGTGCTTTAAAGTTCCTTCCTTCTTACAAATTTTCATTGAGGACCTACTAAGGGCTGCGGGCTGGGATTCACTGAATAAATCTGATCTGGTCCCCGTCCTGTGGGGTGTTTAGACTTGTGGAGCTGACGGGGAATAAACAAGCACACCGCCAATTTATCTGTCTCTACAGGGTAGGGCAATGCTCTGTGGGACTTGTCCGTGGACACGCAGCCAAAAAGTGGTGTGTCCGTGGACGAGTCACGCCACCTCTCTGAGTCTGTATTCTCTGCAGGGACCAGGACAGGGCAGAGGTCACGGAGTGGATGGAAGGATGCAATGACTTTGCACGGGTAAAGCACTTAGCACGGGGGAGCCCTCTATAGATGGAATTGGTTGCTGTTGTTATGGGAACTTTGGATACAGAGAAGAGGCCAGGATGAGTCTGCCAGGATGGATTAGACAAGTGTAGGGGGAGCGTGGACGACTGATCTTTGTTGATATCCTTCTATGCCCATTTGCCCCTTTGTCCTGCCCAGGCTGTTTCATGCTTCTGGGCCTTTGCTTAAATCCCCAAAGGCCCTTTCTCCCCTTGACTTCCTGGAGAACTCCTATTCATCCTTCAAAACCCCATTCAGACCCCACTGCCTCTGAGAAGCCATCCTGGACAGGCTGACTCCATCCCTGCCCTCAGACAGGGTGCTGCACCCTGTGCCATCATTTCCTGCCTCCTCTCCCAAAGATCATGCCCTGAGGCAGCTCTGCCCGACGAGCACCCAGCAGAGGACCTGGCATCGAGTTGGTGCTCAGCAAGGGCTCATGAAGGGTCTGGGTGCTTGGGGGAAGGCTGAGGGGATGGGGTGGCAGATCTGTGCCCACCATGCAGAAGGGGTCCCGGAGGCCTGGTCTCCCCCGCCCTGGTACCTGTGGACTGGAAGACTCCCGGGTTGCAGAGGCAATATCGGGTGGCAAACGTCTCCATCATCCGGTCGATCTTCTGGGCCTCACCCGGCAGCCGGAAGCTCCACAGGAACTGCCTGGGGGTGAGCAGGCGTGGGCAGTGGGGGGGGGGGGTGCTCTCAGGGGGACCCCGGGTCTGTGCCTGGCATCCGGTGCGTGGGGAGGGTAGGTGGGCTCTGTACCAGCAAGTGCCACGCACACAGGAGCATGCAAGAAATGCCTCTCGCTTGGAACCCGGGAGCTGCATGTGCTCCCCTCCGCCCGCTGGGGCCAGCCCCACCTGCCTGCCCATGCAGGGCCTCCACCTGCCCCGGTTCTGAGGCTCCCCGTGCCGGCCCAGGGCCCGAGGGTCTGATGGGGGACCCTGGCCAGTGCCTGCCTCGGCCGCGCCTCCCCTTCTTGGACCTCAGCTTCAGCTCTGGAGGTTGGTGATTTTCCCAGCTTCAAACTAAGGTGCCTGAGGGCGAGGGCCCCGCCTGCTTCTCTCATGGCTCCTGCGGGCCTCTCACAGGCCGTGCACTCAGGAACCACCCCATAAAGCCTTGATGGGTGGGTGAATGAACGAAGAAATGAACACACGAATCCTGGGGGCTGCCCCTCTCCCTTAAAGAGCCTGGGAGTCCGAGGGGAGGCTGCCTTGCCTGGATGGTGGCGGCTGCTTTCCTTTTTGCCTTGAAAACTCCTAAGCATCCTGCAACGCCCAGATCAAATGCCCCCTCTCAGGAGCCAATTTCCCAGGCATTGAGCAGCAGCACTTCCTATGGGCCAATTCTAAGCACTTCCTCATTTAGTCCTCACAACCCTTTGGGGCAGTTACCAGTATCATCCCCATTTTACAGATGAAGAAACTGAGGCACAGAGAGGTTTCTGTGACTTGCCCAAGGTCACACAGGGGGTGAATGGCAGAGCTGGGATTTGAACTGGGGTATCTGGCTCAGAGTTTGTGCTCCTAACCGATATCCTGTAATGCTTCCTGTAGTTGTAAAAATAAAAGTAGCAACAATAATATCCTAATTAGAAAATAATAAGTAATAATAAGTGCAATACATACTAAGCTGTATTAATGAAATAAAACAAGCGCTAAGCCAAAAAGCAGTGGGCACGGCCGTAGAAACAGTAATAACGATCACAAGGATTAAAGGTGTTACAACAGAGCTGTGATATAGGAACACTGGCAGGAGCGGGCGCGAGGGGCCTGGCGCTGTCCCGGGCCGTGCATGCCTATCGTCCCATCCAGCCTCGGCTCTGGGAGGCGGGACTGTCATTCATTGATTTTTGCTCCTGACCCTCTGTTTGTGCTGTTAGTTACGGGGATCACGATGCCCCCCCAAGGCCCGGGCCCCTGCCCCCTGGCCTGCTCACCTGAGGGCCTGGACGAGGTTGAGGTTGGCGAACTCGTGGCAGTCCACAAAGGCCTGGAGCACCTGCAGGTTGACGGGGTCCCTGGGGAGGGGGCGGAGGGAGGGCGGGGTGCACTTGAGCTCGCTGCCCCACCTCCTGGAGGGAGAGGAGGGGAGAGACGTCCTCCCTCGGATCCAGCCGCTGTCTGGTCTGCTCTCATCCACCTGACCCCGCCCCCCATGTGCACATGCGTGTCCTCACACTCGTGAGCAGACTCCCACACCTCACGGCCCCCTAGCACTGCGGTCACCGGGAGAGGAGCCCTGGCTTTGGAGCGGCCTGCCCCGAGTCAATCCTTCCTCTTCTCTGCCTGTGGGGACCCGCTCAAGCCACTTGACCTCCCCAAGCCCCGTGAGCTCATCTGTAAGGTGGAGCGATTCCTGCCTCCCCGCTCCCTGCTCCGCCCGGATCCTACATCCGGAAGCAAAGTGCATCCTCTGCTCGTTCAGGCGAAGGGACGTGTCCTCCGGGAGCCTGAGAGAAGGGATGCTGGCTCGCTGGCCCAGCTCCCCCCTTGTCCCTTACAGTCCACCCTTGCCCAGCAGCCCGAGGCCCTGTCATCGCTCCTCTGCCCAGCAGCCTCCCATGGGTCCTACCACTTGTCACCTGCTACTTCCCCGCTCCCGCGCTCCCTTCCAGTCTCACAGCCTGCTGTTCCCTGAGCACGCTTCTGCCCCAGAACCTTTGCATATGCTGTTCCCTCTGCCTGTAATGCTCTTCTCCCAGCTGTCTACACCGCTCACCTCCTTTAAGATTCCATCCAGCATCACCTCCAGGGGACCCTTCTGGTCCGCACTGTTTAAAATCACAGCCCGTGACCCGGGGTTCTCAGCACTTCTCACCTCCCCGCCCTGCTTTATTTGTATGCCAAAAAACTTATAGTTTTCTAACATATTTTCCGTATCTTGGGGTCCTTCCCACTAGAACGTACCTCCCTGGGGGCAGGAGCTCTGTCTGCCTCGTTCGCTGGTGTAAACCCAGGGCTTAGACCAGAGTCTGGCACACAGCAGATGCTAAGAAACACCCATTTGTTGCATAAGTGAGCGAGGAGGCGTTGGCTGAGGATCGGGAAGGGGGTGATCCCTCAGCCCCGCGCGCCCCAGGAGCCGGGACTTTACTCACGTACCTGCACACACGCACACACGCACACACACACCTGCGCGCCTCCTCCCCTGCCTCTCCGAGGCCCCGCGCCCGTACCTCTCCCCCAGGTAGGTGCCGATGGCCGTCTTGTTGAGGCCCTCGCCCTTGTACAGGAACTGGGCGATGTCCTGGACGTCGGGGCTCAGCAGCTTGTGCTCAGTGAGGTACTGGATGCCCTGCAGGGGCGCACAGAGCCGTGAGCAGCTGCCACAGCAGCCGGCGGGGGGCGGGGGGCAGGGAGCACTGGGGCCCGGCGTTCTGACACTGGCACAGCCCATTCTGGGGAGGTGTCCCTCCTTAATAGAAGCCACCTTTGTAAGGTGGTGAGTTCCCCATCACTGGAGGCGTGCAAAGGGCAGGGGGTTCGTGCAGTGAACCAGGGTCATGCCAGGTGTTCCCCAGGATCCCCTTCAGTCTGACACTCCTTGATTATATGCTTCAGTGATTCTGTGAATTTATTATTTTAAGACTCAATGATTCAGCCATTCCTTTTGTCTCCTTGAAATTCATGCTATTTAAAAATAGTGTTTCATTTTTTCTCGCAAGTAATCTACGTCCATTGTATAAAAATTAGAAAAAACAGCTAAGTCGAAAGGGGAGGCCGACAGTTTCCGTGGCGGTGACTGTCCTTCCCTTTCTGTGTGAAAGCGGGGTGCGCCCCGTCCCCCTCGTGGAAGCCCGTCGTGCTGACTGGCAGCCCACGAGCATCTCTCCCACGGCCCCGCCCCTCGGGGTCTGTCACTCAAATCTGAGGAGCTCGGGGGGCGGGGCTTGGCTTCTGCAATGAGTTCTCTGTGTCCCTGTTCGTTTTGGGGAAGAGGCTGCTGGAGGGGCAGGTTGTGGCAGCTCTGAGTGACAGCAGAGGGCACTGGGGACCCCTCAGTGCGCCCCCCAGCCCCCATGTGAGTTAGTGCTGGTGTGTGTGTGTTTATGTGCGGCACAGTCTGTGCGGATGGGGCAGGGGTCCGGGGGTCTGCAGCTGTGGGAGGTGAATGGGTGTGCGACACTGTGGGTTGCGATGGGAAGACAGGTGGCCTTTGAAGACCGAGGAGTACATTTCTAGGGACCCCAGCTCGGCAGTCCCTGTTGGCTGCCCTGACGCCATCTCTGTCTGTCAACCTGTGACTTCCTCCTGTCTCTGTTCCTGCAGGGTGAGGGGTGCTGGGGGCTGGGGCTGCTCTGAGGCCAGTGAGGGTGGAGTGGGGGTGGGACAGGGGGAGAGCAGTGACTGAGCCCTGAGCCCTCAGTGCTCTGCGCCAGCAGCCCAGGACTGGCTTCCCCCAGCTGAGTGTCTGGAAGACACTTCTGGAGAATCTAAGGGTCCCGTTGTCCACGGCCCTGCTCACAGAGGAGGACGCAGAGGCCCAGAGCCAGGGACCCTGAGTCCGTGGACATGATAGACTCCGTCCCATCCCCCGGGCTCCCGCCTCATGACCAGGGGCTACTGTGCTGTGGGGTGACAGAGCCCCAGCCGTGACAGGCCGTAGGGTACTGCACAAGATGCACAGCCCCGTGGGGCCTCAGCTTCCTCATCTGTAAAGTGGGTAATTATCTTGGTTGAGCGGAACAAGAGGACGCTGTGAAGGTGCCCAGTGTGCAGCCCCTCAACCCTGTGACCCGAACCCCCCACAGCTGCCTACCTTCACAGGGTCCATGTTGAACTTCTTGCGCCCGATACACAGCTCCTTCTCCTTCTGGGCCATCCGGCTGTGGATGTGAGGATGTCAGCCTGGACTGCCCAGGACCCCAGGGCCCCTCCAATCCCCAAGGAGCCCTGGGGACCTTGAGGACCGCCCTCAGCTAGAGCCAATATTCTCTAGGGGCCTCCAAGTGGGGTCCCCAGGCCCTGCAGGAGAATCAGCGGGGAGGGCATGAGAAATGCCCAGTCTGGGCCCTCCCAGAGTCACCAACCCACACTGTCCCCATGGGCCCAGTGCCAGCACCCTAACCAACGCGGGAGGCACGGCCTCAGGAGCCCAGAGCTGCTTTGGGGAGCACTTGGGGCGCCTGTGCTCGGAACGGGGTCAGGACAGCAGGGCGGCCGGGCCGAGGAGACCCCGCTCCACTGCCCTGGCTGAGCACCGAGGACGAGTCCCTTCCTCTCTCTGAGACTCAGTTTTCTCATCTGTAAAATGGGGGCAACGCCTCCCAACATCATTGGGGGTTAAAACGCTGGCAGGAGGTACTCTGGAAATATTACGTTGTTGCTATTGCTGGGGCTGGAACAGAACCCGGAGGTGCGGGCCTGTGCTTGGTGCACGGTGCGCGTGTGTGCACTGGTGTGTGGGGGCTGGAAAGGTGGAGGTCAGGGGGATCGGGAACAATGGGGTGGCAGGGGCAGGCTGGGGATTTCCTGGGACACGGAACATAGGAGTCAGTGCCCTGGGGCCCTAGGGGATTATGTAGGGACCAACCTTCCCATCGCACAAGTAGGGAAACTGAGGCCCGAGAGGAGAGAGGACCAGCCCCAGGTCACAGAGGCAGTGGGGTCTTCCCATAGAAGGGGCAGGCGGATGACACCCTGTGGGCGGGGTGAGTGGAGCAGCCTCGGCCTCGCGACAGGCCAGGCTCCTGTCCCCGTGCGGCCCTTGGCTTCCTCGTCCTCGTCCTCTGGGCTCAGCTTTCCTTCTCCCCGGCCCCTCCCAGGATGCTCCTGGGCAGTGATCGGTCAGGGCTGGGTCAGGGCCTTCGGGTGGAGGGGCCGTGAGGACGGGGCTGTCTCTCAGGAGAGGGGGCTGTCTGGAAGCCAGGACCAGAGCAGACCACGGGAGGGAGTCTCGGGCGCCCTGTTCCTGCCTCGCCGCCCCTACCTCCTCCTCCAGGGCCGACCCCTGACGTCACCAGGGCCAGGCCCAGGTGTGGGCCCTGCACATTCACGGTGGGGATATTGGGGTCCCCTGGCCAGACCCCTCACCTCTCCTCTGCTGTCTCGAAGCAGTCAATTTGGGCGAACACATCTGCAATCTCGTCTTTCAGTTTCTGTGGGGCAGGGGCACCACGGGGAGAGAGGGTCAGGGGCAGAGGTCAGACAGGAAGGATTTCACGAACCCCGTGCCTGCTCTCCACCCCCACCGCCCCACCATTCCCACCCTGGGCATCACTCCCAGACCTCTCTGTCCTGAGCCGCCACTGAGGGACCCCCCCCCAACCGACAGGTCCCTCCCCAGATGCCTCATATCCTCAAGACCCCAAGCCAGACTTATGGCCTCTGTCTACACCCTTCCTTCTGCCAGCTCCTGTCTTGGGGGAGGCAGTCCCCAAGCCCCCACCCTTGCCCCACTCTATTCCTGCCTTCCCATCTCTCCCCTCTGCAGCTGGGAAGTCTCCTGCCCTCTAGCCAAGCCCACGGACCAGTCCTCCTCCACTGGCTGCCATCTTTCTGAAGCACAGCTTGGCGCCTGCCCTTCCCCTGTTCCAACTCCTTCCATGGCTCCCTATTGCCTCCTTAGTCGAGAGGGACAAATTCCCACCCTACGATCAGGCCCCAACTCCTCTCTGGCTTCCCTGCATCCATCCATCTACTCTGTCACTCCACTCGGCTCAGCGCCCACTGTGTGCCCGGTGCTATGGGTTCCCCAGAGCACGAGACTGCACAGACCCTCTTCTCAGGGACTTTGCAGTTCCGGTGGAATTTACAGAAGAGGACACTGAGGCGCAGAGAGATGAAGCAGTGTGTCTAAGGTCCGGCTCCAAGCCTGTGCTCTCCCCGGCTCCCCCAGCCTGTTTCACCTTGACCCTGCAGGGGGCGCCCAGGGGCAGAGGAGATCCCGGGACTCCACCAGCCACCACCACCGGGCAGCCGTGGCAGCTTGGCCAACGTCCTCCTGCAGGGCAGCAGCATGAGCACCTGGCCAGAGCCCTCACAGGCACTGCAGCCCCTCCCTCACCTCCCCTGAGGTCTGTGGGATGGGGGTGGTCCCGGTGGCTTGTCCTGGGACCCAGGGCCAGCGTGGGGCCTGGAGCCCCTGAGATCTCGGCCGAGTGACTGAGTGGCCTCCCCACAAATAAAATGGGGGCTCACTTGCAAGTATTCATTGAGCACCTGCTGTGCTCTGACTGTTGGGCTGTGGATACAGCGATGGGCGGGACAGACCCGGCTCCACACCACGGAGCTCAGAGTCTAGAGGGGTTGCGCTCATGGTGGTCACGGGGCAAATGAAATGACCGCGCAGCAAATTCCTGGAGCAACGGCACAGAAAGAGCCTGGCGCATGGTGGGTGCTCAGCAAATACACACTGAGTGAGTGATTTTGTGTCTTCCTCCCTCCCTGGAATCTCAGGGGCACGTGGGTCAGGTGGGGATGGGGTCCTGGGCGCTGCAGCAGGGCAGTCAGTGCAGCATCCAGGAGGAGGTGGCACTGGAGCTGAGAACACGCGGATGGGAAGGAAGAGCCATGAGGAGAGCTGGGAGAGTCTCAGGCAGAGGGAATTGCAGTGCAAAGGCCCTGGGGCAGGACGGAGGGTGGCACATCACAGAACAGGCCAGGGCCTGTCTCAGAAGGTTCCTGAGAATCAGAGGAGCTAACGTCTGAGAAGCTGGTGAATGGGCAGATCAGGGCACATTGACTGAGTGGTCTGAGGGGGAAGCTGAGGCCCAGCGCGGGGCTGAGACCTGATGGACGCCACACAGGTGGGAGTAGCACCTGCCAAGCGACGTGGGATCTGGAGCCCCAGGTGGGACTGGCACACAGCAAGTGTGCAATCCATTGCCCCTCCCCTTCCCACTCTCCTGGCTCTCTCTGGGTCCTGGTGGCTGAGCTGGGAGGGGGACTCCCCTGGGAATGCTGCTCCCCACACTCCTGGGGGCCTGGGCTGAGGCCGGGTGCGGGCTGGGTCTGGCTCCACCCTCAAAGCAGGCTGGGGTCCGGAGCGAGAGGGAGTGTGAGAGCGTGCTCGAGTGTCTGCTTACGGGTGGGCGTGGCTTGTCAGTGTGAACACGTGTGTGTGAGTGTGTGCGAGCTGGAGCACGTGTCTGTGTCAGTGTGAGCGTGCCCCCACCTGGATGTCCTCCAGAAGCTGCTTCCGGTGCCACTTGATCCGCTGCAGCTCCTCGGCCTCCCCGCTGCTCAGCTCCGTGGGGTCTGGAGAGGGAAGGACCCCTGGTCACCGGCGCCTTCGCCGCCCTCCCCTCCATCGCTGGCTCGGCCACACCGGCCGGCTCTCCCCTCCCCGGCGCCCTCTTCCCTCCAGACACACCGGGGCTCGCTTGCCCTCTTCGCTCAGGCTCAGCTCAGAGGCCGCCTCCTCTGAGAGGCCTTCCCAGACCACTCTGTCCAAAGCAGCCCCTCCCCCACCCTCCCCTCCTACCCAGCGCTGTTCCTTCTTCCCTCCGGGCACAGACTCCCTGACTCTTGTTTGCTTGGATGGTTTCTGTCCCTCTCACCACCCTCTCTGCTCCACGAAGGCAGGCACTCCAGCTATTTCGCTCACTGCTGCATCCCCAGCACCTAGAAAGATCCTGAGACCCAGCAGCCCAACAAAATACTTGCCGGAGGCACCTCCCTTCCCGGGAACTTTAATTTACTCCTTCACTGGATCACGTGTCGATCGTTTATTCCCTTACTTACTACTGTGTTTAAAGATTGGCCCTGAGCTAACGCCTATTGCCAATCTTCTTCTTCTCCTTCTCCCAAAGCCCCCCAGTAGACAGTTGTGTATTTTTAGTTGTGGGTCCTTCTAGTTGTGGCATGTGGGATGCCGCCTCAGTGTGGCCTGATGAGCAGTGCTACGTCCTCACCCGGGATCCAAATTATCGAAACCCTGGGCCACCAAAGTGGAGCGCAGGGACTTAAGCACTTGGCCCCTATTCCCTGACTTATTTGCATAGCCAGGAAGTGGCATATCGTTTTGCCTCACGCCCCATTGGCCAGATGTAGTCACACGGCCACATGTAGCTGCAAAGGAGGCTGGGAAATGAGCCTTTAGGACGGTGGTCCTGATATCCTTACTGCGTCAGATGGGGAGACTGGATCTGTGGGGACATTTTGTAATTTCTGCCCCCATCACTGAGGCTCTGAGAGGTGGGTGACCTGGCCAGGGTCCCACAGGGACGAGTTGCTGAGCCAGGGTGGGCCCTTGCGTTGGGCGGTTACAAAGTCGGTGCCCTTTGCTCTTCCCAGGAAATGAATGAAAGGAGACACGTGTGTGCCGGTGTCCTGTGCAAGGCACCACAGAGATTGCCACGCCTGGGCCAGCTGGCCCGCCTCCACCGCCATTGTTCCTGTTCCACCCACAACACTCTCCTGGTCAAAATCTCCAAGGAGACTCCCTGTTACTTGGAAGGAGGAGTCCTCGTCCTGGTCCTGGGGCCTCCCCAGTCTCCCGGCCTCTCCAGCCAGCCTTCCACACCATCCAACAAGAGCCCGCCAGTCCAGCCTGCCCGCTCCTCACTGCCCCAAATCGTCTCGCTCTCCGTCTCACTCCCCCCCTTCCCCTGCGTGGTTCCTCCGTGCTGGGGTGTCTCCTCCCGCCTCCTGTCCACACCCTCCCCAACGCTCAAGCCCTAGCTTTGGGAAGCGCCTGGCCATGCTTCTTTTTTCCTTCTTCTCCCCAAAGCCCCCCAGTCCATAGTTGTATATTCTAGTCGTAGGTCCTTCTGGTTGTGCTGTGTGGGACGCTGCCTCAGCATGGCCTGATGAGTGGTGCTAGGTCCGTGCCATGGATCTGAACCTGAGAAAACTTGGGCCGCCAAAGCAGAATGTGCGAACTTAAGCACTGGACCACGGGGCCAGCCTCTGGTCATGCATTTAAAGGCTTTACAAGGACAGACATTCTCTCTCCCAGAAAGCAGAGAGGAAGCCAAGCCCGCCATTTCCCTCCTCCCCCTCCTGCTGACTGAGGAGCCATCTTAGACTTTGAGATGGAAGCTGGGTGTTGGGGTGTCAGGGCGCCAAGATGGAAGGAACCCGGGTCCCCGGGCAAACGTGTGGAGAGCAGTCATCATATTCCCCTCGACCAGCTACCCACTTGGACTTTCAACGAGAGAGAAATAAGTTTTGAGAATGTCTCAGTCACCATTATCCTGAGTTTTTGTTACAGCAGCCAAACTGAAGGACAATATAGTGTCCTTTTCTGTGAAACATGAACCTAATTCTTACCTGGAGGGTGGTTGTTAGGATTAAAGGAACCGAATTTTGTCAAACACCCAGCAAGTATCTGACATACGGCGAGGGGCCAACACTCGTCTGATGGCTGCTGTGATGTGCCATCCGGCTCTTCAGGGCTGGGGCACCCGTTCTCTCGGCTGCTGGTGGGGGTGTGGGGTAGCCCACTAATGGCTCCCAGCTGGGTCCCTCCCCAGGAACTCGGCTCAGCCAGATGGAGCTGCCTCACCCGAGGACGTGCCCCTCCCAAGGGGCGGCCACTGCTTAAACAGCCAAGACCCTTCGCCTGGGTTCTGGACCTGAGGCAGTGTCAGACTCAGGACCTATTGACTGAAGAAGAGGCCGGGGCCCCAGAAGGAAGGGTCCTGCAACACTGTGGCGAGTACATGCGGTCATGATTCCCCTGGTCAAGCAGCCCAGATGGGTCTGTCTGACCCACTGAGTCACAAAGTCGGGCGAGCCCGATAGCATCCTTTGTAAGCGGTTCACCCAAGAATGGGCATGAGCAGAGCCAGAAGGCTCCAGTGAGCCCCGTGGACAACCCAGACCCCCGTGTCACCCACTGCCGATGCACCAGGTCCCTCAGATCACCCCGTGTCTGCAGGGGTGGGTCCCTTGTAACCTTCTGACAAAGGAGGAAAATGCCTAAACTCAGTTCCAGGATGGGTGGCTCCGTGTTTGGCTACAAATAAAAACCAGACAGCCGTTGAACTACAGTCCTGCTCAGCCGTGTTCCAGAATGACAGTGGTGAAAAGTACTCCCAGTGGGCAGAGCTTTGCACGGGGCACCTGGTCATCCATTCCATGTGGAAAGAGAAGTAACATGAAGCAAGGATATACACGTGTGTGGGCGGTAGAGAATGGCTTGACTTCTTGGTCCGAAGCTGGAAAGAAGGGAGGCTGGAAGGTCGGGAACAGAGAAGTCTGGGGAAGAGGCAAGCAATGGCCCTTTGGGTGTGGGCACAGAGTGTGAAGATCTTTGTAAAGCCCACTGACATTCCCCAGCAAGCATCCACCACAAGAGAGGCCCTGAGCCACTGAGCAGACAAGATGACTTGGCCAGTGACATCAGCCAGCCTCTGACTGGCCGGCCCAGTGCTGGCGCAAGGCCGCATGAACGAAGTAGCCATGTGGCCTGGATGGACGCCACGCGTGGACCCACTCAACAGGCTTCTCAGGCTACTGCCACCTCAATGCCTGAGCTGCCAGCCACGGGGACTCATGATTTCTTGAGACCAGCCGACAACCCTGGGGCAACTTGATTACATTGGGCTCTTTCTCTTCTGCAAAGGCCGGTGATTCATCTTGACTGGAACCCACACGCATTCTGAACACGTGGTTTCCTTTCCTGCCCGCAGAGTCTTGGCTAGCACCGCTATCTCAGGGCTTCCCGAGCGTTTCCAGGGTCCTCGCACCAGACGCCACATAACATCACATTAGACCACGTACCCCATTCACAGTAACGGAGGTGTGGCAGGAGCGTCTGGCCGTGGGAACCCCTGGTCCTCTCATATTTCACCACCAGAAGACGCCGGCCTGAAGGATCGATGGAGCCGCCCCCCGAGGGTGCAGCTGAGGTGTCAGTGTGGAGACGATGTCCCGCATGGGTGGGGCGCCATCCTCCAGGATGCGCTGTACACCCCAAATCCACCACTGTTAGATGGTGCTCTGTCCCCGGAGGTCATCTACATGGATCCAGGGACAAGGAGCGGGAGTGGCTCCGTGCACCATCCTCCCAATGAGCCACTTGGGGGTTTTCCTTTCTCTCCCTGCAACTCTGAGCTTTGTGGGTCTGGAGATCCTGGTTTCCAGGGGCGTGGGGGAGGTGGCACTTACATCAGGGGAGAAAGCAAGAGTCTCATTAAACTTTAAGCTCAAAAACACCTACTCCATGCCAGCAGCTCCGTATAAATGATGTCGGTTAATCCTCACAACTCTTCGAAGTGGGTCTTTTTCAGCTTAGAGCACTGAGGCTCAAAGAGATGAAGTGACCTCCCCGGGGTCACACAGCCGGCACGTGGCAGCGCTGGGATCAGAACCCTGGTTTGCCGACACCCAGGCCTCTGCCCCAGGACAGGTGGATTCTGCATGCCGTTAGCGACAGGCAGGGATGGAAGGGGTGACGGGCCATCCGCGTGGAGGCGTGAGCAGGGACGAAGCAGGGAGGCGGTGCTGGAGGCTGGACCCGGCCCTCCTCTGTCGGGAGTGGAAGGGAGGCTGAAGGGGGCTGAGCTCCACGGCGGAAAAACCCAGCCATCTCCAGCTGACTTGGGGTGAATGCTCAGCCTTTCTTGTTTGGCTGGTTTGCTGTCTGCCATTTTCCTGCTGGCTGGGCTGGGTCCTGCAGGCCTGTCTCTGGCCCCGGGCCCCCTCCCGGTGGAGGCTGTGGGCGTGCCAGCGAGCTGCTGGTTACGGAGAAGCCAGGCTGGGCACCAGTGTTTGTGGATAACCCACAATGCGGATGGTCAAGGGGCAAGCGAGGGGGTTCCCCTGGCTGGTCCTAGGCCGACTTCTCCTCTCCCTGTGCGGTCTCCTTAACTCCTGGCTGTCCCTCCTCTTGTGGGCTGAGGACACTCATGTCCTTGGCTCCAGCCCCTTCCTGAGCTTCAGACCCTTCTGTGCCCCTGCATACCGGCCATCATCTCACCTGTCATTGTCATCAGAACAGAACTCCTAGAATTTCCCTGCAACCTGGCCCCCTTCCTGCCATCCCGAGCCGCAGGACCGGCCCCCCGACACCTCGGCCAGAAACCCTGGGCCACCTGGATGCTCAGCTCTCTCTCACCCCTCACGTCTCCTCCATCACCAAGCCCTGTCCATCTTTCTGCTTCTACGGTCCCCACCCTTGCTCAGACCACCGGCTCCTCTGTCTGGATGGACTGCAGGCCCCCCGATGGCTCCCCGCCTCCACTCTGCCCCTGCAATCTGGCCTCCCGTGGCGTCCCATTGTCCTGGGGCTAAAGACCTGAAGTCTTAGCGGGCCCACCCTGTCCTCATCCCACACTGCGCCCACCCCCTGCCCCAGGCTTCAGACCTCCTGGCCGCCCTTCCTTCACTCCCACGTGCTCTCTTTCTCCACGGCCTTTGCACATGCTGTTCCCGTGTCTGGAATGCCCTTCCTCCTCCTCTCTGCCCAGTAGCTCCTACTGATCCTCTCGCTGTCCTCTCAGGTGCCCTCCTGTGCTCCGTCCGGGCCCCGTCCTCTTCCTCGCCTCCTTCCCATCCCCTGCAGCAGTTCTGGGAGCTGCATGGCTCAACAGAAAAACCAGGCCGCTGGCTAGGGGCAGGCGTGCTGGTTGAGCACCTACTATGTGCCAGGTCCTGTGTGCCCCAGGCTCTTCCTGTCCACTATCTTGTTTGACCCTGACAACAGCTCTGGAAGGAAGGTATTGCTAATCTCATTCTTCAGATGAGGCATCTGAGGCTCAGAGAGGTTAAGCGACCTCCCCAAGGTGACACAGCTGGCAGGTGGTGGAGCTGGGATTCATGCCCAGAGCCATCTGGGGCTCCGAGGCCCCAGCCCTGACTTTGATCTTCTGAAACCACAGGGGCTATACAAACCATCCAAACCTCAGACGGTCACCCTGGATGTTCTAACGGAAACGCCGACCGCGGCTCCGTGTCTGAGGATGAAGACAAGCGGCAGAAGGATGCCCACTGTTGGAGCGCCTCTCCCTGTTTGTGCAGGAAGCACACTACGCCAAGAGCACGGAGCTGGGAAACTGAGGCACAGGCGTGGGTGGGAACAGCTTTCCCAGGGGAGGGGATGCTGGGGGGACTGGGGGTTGTTTGCGTTTCTTTTTCATTGACCTCCTTTCGTAGTTTGACAGGTGTCTCCATGAAGCCCCTCAGTCCACTGTCCCCTTTTGTCAGGTCCTGACCCCAACAGGTGGCAACTGGCCAAATGCATCTGACCCCACGGGGCGGGCCTGATGGCCTGGATGCTGCATCCACGACGGCGCCCGCGGTGTACGAGGGCCCTCGACCCTTCACCTATTTGTTAAAAAGGGGGAATGTCTCCCCATTTCAGAGCTGAGGACACTGAGGTTCAGGGAAAGGGGCCAAGGACACAGCCTCAGAGGGGCCACTTCATTGGTGTGGCTCATGGGAGATGGGTCTTTAGTAATAATAATAGTAAAACACAAAAAATAATGAAGTGATGATGACAACTACCACCACGAGCTGTTTACTCCCGCTTGGCTCTGTGCCGTCCACACCTCGCAAAGGCCACGTTCGAGTCAGCGCGTGACTCATGGCCGGCGTGGCTGCCCTCCGCCCCGAGTGCCCAGGCCGCTGCGCTGCCCGGTGCCCACCCCGAACGTCTCCCCAGCTCCTCCCCACTTCCCCTTTGTCCTTCCTCTTTCCCATCGTATTTTTAGAAATGTCTCGGCTTGCAGCCCCGCTTCCAGGGCAGCTGGCCTGGCTTCCCCTTTCCAGGGCAGGAGGAGCGCGCTGTCCTGGGGCCCTGCAGGCAGAGGCCCCCCAAAGTCGGGGCGAGGGGCGCCTGGGGCAGGAGGGGCGAATCTGGCCGAGCTGCGCCCCGCCCCGCCCCAGGCCCTGCGGGTGCATCGTGCGGCTTCCTCCGCCCAGCTGAGCCGCCTCTATTTTTAACTGTGCTTGTCTTCAGGCGCCAGCCCGGGGTTGTCTTTGGTCACGTCGGAGCGTTGTTGCCTGCACCTCTCATCTTCCCTGCAGGCCTGGGCGGAGGGGGCCTGACCTGCCTCTGGTTGTCACAGACACCCACGCCCGGAGGAGGGGAGGCAGCCCTGGGGGGCTCTTTGCTACCATCCTGTCTGTTGTACAGGTGGAGAAACTGAGACCTACAGAAAGAAGCAGCCCGTCATGACTGCAGCAGGTTGGTGCCGAGCTGGGACCTGAGCCAGATCTGGCTGTCTCTAAGCACCCACTCATTGCCCACTTCCTCAGGTCAGGCTCGGTGATGGTACCCACGGACACATAATGGATCTGAGCTCAGAGAGGGGAATTCACCAGGCTGTAGAGGAGCTTCGATTAAGACCCAGTCTGGGTAACAGAAGAGTGACCTTCCTTCTTTCCCTCCCTCTGCCTCCTCCAGGAAGTCTTCCCACATCTCCCCTGCCTGGGCGGAGAGAGTTGCTTCCTCTCATGCCCTAGGCCTGTGTCCATTCGCACGTCTGCCCGGGGGCGTTGTTCTGCAGAATCTGTCTCCTCCTGCCTCGCATCCCGGACTAGCAGCTCCCCCAGGGCTGTCCCCAGCTCGCACAGCACAGGGCCTGCACACCAGAGGACTGTGTATAGAATGAATGAATGAACGAATGAATGAATGAATAGAAGAACCAATCAGTGGAGACGTCAGATCTCCCAGCAGACTGTCTGCATTGACCCCACTGCCTCCTCGTCCTCCCAGGGCCAGCCTGAGCAAACCAGACACTCTGTTTCTGGCCCCCTCGGACCTCGTGCTCCTGCCCTCCTACAGCCGGCTGACCCAGGCGCTCTCCTCCCAGGTGCTTGTCCCTATTCTGCCATTTACTGCCCCAGCTCACGTCTCTGAGCCTCGGTGCCCTCATTTGCATCACAGGGGCAACCGCCCCAGTTCCTAAGGACCTTCTTATGTGAAGACCCCAGAGAACGAGCTCATCATGGTGGAGGACCGGCAGTGTGGGGGGAGGGTGGGAGATTACTTCTCACTGTCGCTTCTCTTCCCCCATCAGCTGAGCAGCCTCGAGCCAGCCACTGCTACTCGTCGGGTCTCTTGCCTCATAGCTGTCACTTAGGACGTGTTCCCTGAGCCTGCGCGGGCTGTGAGCCACCTGCCCCCAAAAGCCTGGAGGAGAAGCAGGGGCTCCGGGAGAGAGCACTGGATGTGGAGTCTGCAGGACTGCTTCGTCTTCTGGCTCCCTTGTTCCCTCTGTCAACAGGGCTGTGGAAATGGATCGGTGGTCCTCTAACTGTGTCCCCAGAGCCCACGGGGCGAGGGGAGGCCCAGGGCACTGGCTCAGACTGCTCTGGGGTAGGTGTTGCATGCAGAAAGGGCGCTGTTGCTAACAGGCCCAACGTCACCTGCGCCTGGGGACCTGGACAGCTCCCGGCAGCCCTTGTCTTCTGGAATTCCAGGCAGTGCCGGAACATTCTGGGATGCAGGGCACAGAGACCTGGCCTGTCGTCCTCTGTCTGCTCACAGAAACTCGTGCTGCCCCGTTCTCTCCTATCCCAACCGCACAGCCCCCTTCCCTCTTCCCTCCACACCCATTGTCCTGCTTCCTGGGGGTGGGGGGGCTCAGCCGTGGTCCCCTGCTGCTCATTTCTGGCCTCCTGTACGGGCTGCAGGCAGTGTCCTCAGCCTCCTCAAAGGCCACCTCACCCCCCAAAAGCCAAACAGGGGGCTTCAGGGCCCTTGTACCACCCAGACAGACATCCTCGTCACCAACATCATCATCTTCAACACAGGCAACCTTTCTCAGTCCCGCCTCGGGGCCTTTGAGCTGGCTCCTCCTCCTGCTGGAATAGTCTTGCCCCAGAAACCCACATGGACGCCCCCTGGCCCCTTCAGGTCTCTGCTCAAGTGGCGTCCCTCTTGAGGCCTCTGCCACCCTCCTAATATACTTTACTGCTCATCGCCCTGCCGTCACCAGCAGACACGTCACACCAATAGTTCATGGGCTGTCTCCCTCTGGAGGGTAAGCTTGTGAGAGTGTGGACGGCGCCTGCTCCGCTCGCTGTACCCCCAGCCCCCGGAACGCAGCGTGGCTCCCGGCCCGAGCTTGTAAACGTCGCTGCATGCTTCTGCATTTCCCACCCGTGCACCTCGATTGCTCCCAGGATCCTGCGGGGCAAGCACAGTCATCCCCATTCTACAGAACAGGAAACTGAGCCCCAGAGGGTTTGGCCCAGGTGCTTACCTGGGTGGCACAAGTCCATCCTGAAGCCCCGGGGAAGGGTAGCCCGTGCTCCTGTTGCCCGTTGACCCAGCGGCTGCTCGGCTGGCCAGGCAGGGATGTGTCACCTCGGCTACGACAGGCCCCTTCCCGCTCACCCCGCCCAGCCCTTGTGGGGAGGAAGTCCTGTCTGTCGCCTGGGGCTGTGCGCAGGCCCTTGACACAGCGGTACTTCCTAAAAATCGGCAGTTTCGAGTGGCGGGGACTCTTTGCATTTTGGGTGTGAGCAGGGTGGGGACAGAGGCAAAGAGATGAACAGAGGGATGAGCAGGGGTTAAAAAGGGAAAGACATGAGACAGAGGGAAACACACACACACACACACACACACACACACACACGCACACACAGGGGTCACTGGAGGACAGAGCCTTCTCTGGGAAACAGCGGGCATTTACTCAGCCACTGCCCCACGTATAAGCTGAAGGGTCACTCAGCTTGGACAGTCCAGGCTGGGCCCTGTAGAGTCTACCCCACACGCCCTCTTTTATCAACTCTCCTTTAAGAAAAGAAAAATTAATTCGTTGCTAGGAAGGGTTTTGCTTCCCCTCGATGAGACGTCTGTCTTTTTCTTGTCTGGTGACTAATTGGGGAATATGTTCAGTTTCCCTTTTCCCCCAGGCTGCTAGGAAACTCATAGTCAAATCTGAAGCTCCTTGACAGCTGTTCTGTTCTAGCGTATGGACTTTGGGGCCAGAATCAGCTGTGTGAGTCTCAGCTCTGCGACTCTCTGCTCTGCTACTCAGGACTTGTGTGCACGTGGGCAAGTCACTTATCTGCCTCGGTCTGTTTACATTTGAAAGGGGAATAATAATCTTTACCTCAGAGTTATGGAAAATGGAGGGAGATACTGTGCAAGACTCTTGGGACACGGTAGGTGCTCAATGAACGCTGTTTTCTTTCCTTTTTTGGTTTTAATTTTCTTCTTTGGTTAGAATTCACAGTTTTATTTCTTGTATTTTTCTGATAGGTTGATTCAAATCCTTTGTGGAAAAAAAGGATGGTGTCAAGAAATAGCTATAAAATAAATGGTCATTCACCCATCTGGAGGCCCCACGAGGACAAGGTCACCACTGTGTCCCCATGTCTGGTAAATTTGGGGGACGTGGAGGACGTTCAAGTGTGCAGCGAATGAATGAATGAATGAAAGGAACACCAGGAAGATAGTGTGTTTGCTGCAAAGGTTGCCTGCAATTTCCACCCCTCCCTGTACCCACACCTCTTTGCACTGTGACAGTCACCCTTCCCACCAGGAGGTGGAGCCTGTCTCTCCTCCTTTTGAATCTGGACGGGGCTGTGTCTTTCTCTCACCACCAGAATGTGGCAGAAGTGACATTACATGACTTTTGAGGCTAGGCCTTAAGAAGCCTTGTGGTCCCCATGAGAAGCAGCCCGGGCTGCCACGCTGGAGGAGTGGAGGCCACGAGGAGAGAGGCCGGTGGTCCCGGCCGCCACCTGGCTGCAGCCTCGTGCGTCTGCCGGGCAACATCAGAAGGATCACTAAGCTGAGCCCAACCCAAATCGCTGTCCCACAGAACTGTGAGAAATAATACAAGTTTGTCGTTCTAAGCCACCAGCTTTGGGGGCGGTTTGTCACACGGCAAAAGCTCAGTGATCCAGATGAAGTCCCGCATCTTCATTCATTGAAGAGAAACAGGCTCATTTCCGGGACGCGCTTGACTGGGCTGGACCTTGGGTCAGTGGCCGGCTCAGGCCCCGAGGCCAGGCCTGCTGCCGGGGTCTCGTGCCTCAGGACTCTGGGAACCCGCCCTCGCTTCTTGCATAATTCCAGCTTCTTTTCTAACCACCTCGTTGAAGTGATCTCCACGGTAAACTAGATTTTTCTCAGCAAATCTGAGCCTAAGGCACAAAAAACATTTCCTGGGTCACTTCGAAAAGAGGATGGGAAGAAAAGTGTGATTCCCTGTGCAGACGTTATGACAGCAGGTCTGGGACCGCTGTCCTTGGGAGGGCCTGTTTGCAAGCCTGGCCCTCGGCTGGCGCCTGGGGACCCGGATGTCCAGAGGGTTCCTGCTGTCCCCTGATAAGAGCCGCTCACCGTGCCTGAAGCACTGGTACAAACAGGGTGGCTTCTGTGGGACACCTGCTCTCCTTCTGGGGTCGGGAACTTTCGTACGTGCCAGGCAGAGGTGCCCACGTGACCAGCCCCCAGCAACCCTTGGGCGCTGAGTCTCTACTGAGCATCTCTCACCTGTGTTCTCACAATTCGCTGCTGGAGGAATTACGTGCCTCCGTGTGACCCCACAGGGACAGGACCGCTGGCGGCTCGTGTCTCCCTTCCTCCGGACTCCACTCCGGGAGCTTTGCTGATTGACTTTGGACCCTTTGCTGTTATAGATCACAGATGGAGGCTAGACTGTACGCTGAGTTCCGTGACTCCTCCTGGCGAGTCACTGGACCCGGGGGTGGTCTTGGGGACCCCCGGGACATGCCCTCGCGCTGCAGCCAGGCCCAGTGCCGGACCTTGTTCAGGGCCACAGTCTGGCACGGGGTACTTCCCTTTTTGTCTGAAGGGCTGGTTGAATGGTTCCATTATTATTAACCTCTTGTGCCGTCAGAGTCAACTCAAATGCCACCTCCTCTGTTAAACCTTCAGGGATTACACGTTCCTTCCCTCTGCCCCTACAGCCCTGGTCATGCCAAACAGCTTGTCCGCAGGTGGCCTGGCAGGGAGGGATCCTCTTATTGTGGGTGGCTAAGAGTTTGGTAGAATCAACAACAGGGGAGCCATCGAGACCTGGGTTCTAATCCTGGCTCAGAGCCTGCTAGTTCTGTGAACATCTCCCATCTGAGCCTTGTTTTTTGTCATCTGCAAAATGGGGACAGGTAAGATTAGGTTTGCTTACATGAAACAGAAAACCCAAATAACAATGGTTTAAAGAAATTAGAGGTGTGTTTATCTCTCGTGGGAAAGAACCCCGAGGTGGGTGATACAGGACTGCCTTCCTAGAAGCCTGGTGACCAGCAATCCAGGCTCCTTCTAACTTTCTGTTTCTACCCTCAAGGTCTCCTCATGGTCCAAAGTGGCTGCCTGGTCTCCAGCCATTGTGCCTGAATTTCAGGTAAGAAGAAGGATGAAGATAGGAAGGGCTCCCTTTAAAGGACTCTTCCTGAAGCTCTTTCTGGCCTGAGGTCAGCCTTTCTCCCCGAAATGGGGCTCTGCTTCCTCCATGTGCACTGGGTGGAGGTCCATATTTGGTTACAGGACAACACACAGCAGTCTCCAAACATGGGGTTCTGGGAGGTCCCCAAACAACCACCACTACCATTTATGGGGTGCTCACTAGATGCCAGGTCCTGTCCTAAGTGCTTGCACATTATCTCACTTAATCCACTCCACAACCCAACAAAGTATATTACAATCCCTGTTTTCTAGATGCAGAAACTGAGTTCAGAGAGGTTAAGTCGCTTGCCTGGGGTCACACAGCCAGGAAGAGGCAAAGCTCAGATTCAAGCCCTGCACTGTCTGACTTCATTGTCTCTCTGAATTTGTGCAAGCATCACTTCAAACATTCAGAAAGAAGTCCACAGTCTACCCACTCCTCAGGGGGGGAGATAGGAAAGGTCTAGAACTTGAATTAAATCATAATGAAGCCACATGGGCAATGCTTTCTGTTTGCCCCAAAGCTTAGAATTCCTCACCTGGATATAGCTGGCTAGAGGGCAAGAGAGCTGGAAGGAGTTTCGAGGTGGTCTAATTCAATGACCTCGTTCTACACATGGGGTAATTGAGACCTGGAGAGGGAGGGGTCTCAACAGAGTAAGGGAGAGAACCTGCCCTTGAATCTGGCTGGGCCATGCATTTAGAGTACCCCATCCATCCATCCATCCATCCCTCCGTCCATCCATCTATCCATCCATCTATCCATCCACCCACCCATCTATCCATGCATCCATTCCTTCATCATCCATCCATCCATCCATATATCTATCCATCCATCCATCTGTCATCCATCCATCCATAGATCCATATATCCACCCATCCACCCGTCCATCTATATACACATTCCATCCATCCATCCATTCATCCAGCCATCCACCTATCCATCCATCCATCCATCCATCCATCCATCATCCGTCCATCCCTCCATAGATCCATATATCCATCCATCCATCCATCCATCCATCATCCGTCCATCCCTCCATAGATCCATGCATCCATCCATCCATCCATCCATCCATCCATCCATCCATGCATCCATCCATCCATCCATCCATCCATCCATCCATCCATCCATGCATCCATCCATCCATCCATCCATCCATCCATCCATCCATCCATCTACGCATTCACCCACCCATCCATCCATTCATCCATCTATCCATCCACCCACTCACCCATCCGTCCATCCATCCTTCCATCCCTCCATCCATTCAGTCGTTCAGTCAATGTTTATTGAAGGCCTACTGTGTGCCATGTGCTGTTCTTGGCATTAGCACAAGACTGACAAAAATCCTGGCCTTCCTGTGGCACACGGTTGAGTCGGCTGGGCTGGGTAGGATGTGGTAGTTGGTGGGCAGGGTGTCTGTCTGGGATGAATCATCTCTGAGGCCACTCCCCTCCATAATTTTCTCTGGTTTGTCATTTTTTTCTCCTGACTCAGAGCTGGAGACAGCCTCTGTCTGGAAGATGGAGCACCCCTCCTTCTTGGGACTGCTGAGGGTCTGGCCTGTGAGACTCGAGCTGCAAGCGGGGCATCAGAAGCCCGGGGGCTCTCCAGATGTGTCCAATTTCCCCCAGACCTGTCACTTCTCATCTGGGTTTGGCCACAAGACTTACTGGGAGCCTGTAGCACAGAGGGACAGACGGAAGCTGGATGCAGGGGAGGGGCCGTGACTCAGTAAGCCAGAGGCAGGGATGGGGGTCGAGGGCAGCAGAGCACACTTTGAAGTTCACGTTCAAGCCTAGAAATTGTTCCTAATGAGATAGTTGCACACGTGTGGGGGGGGGGGAGCACATGGGGGCCCCTCCCGGCGTCACTGACAACCGGGGAATTTGGGAAGAGACAAATGCTCGTCAGGGCCTGGATGGTTAATAAATCGTGCTGCGTCCAGACGACGGGCCAGTGCGAGTCATCGAAGAGAGTAACGAGGATGGAGAATTCCGGCATCTTTTGGTTTTAAGTCAACGTAACTCAGTGTAGCTTACACTGGAATTTCCTGGCTCAGTTCCCGGAGTATCAGTGATGGACTTGGCCTCGGGGATATAGAGACCAGAGATGCAAAATGCCCTTGTCCCCTCCTTCTCTCATTCTCTCAGTCTGTCTGAGCTGCTTCTGTCTCTGGCTTCAGATGAGTTTTCGCGGTAGGGCAGCCTGGCCGCAGACAGCTCTAGGCTCACCTCACATCACCTTTGGCTTCAGAAGGAGGGCCCACCAAGACAAATTCTCAGGGTAAGACTTCGATTGGCTAGGCCTCGGTCACGTGCTCATCTCTGGACCAATCACTGCAAGAGCATGGGAGGGGCACCGTGACTGGTCAGGCCCGGGTCGAGTGCCCAGCCCAGTGGTCAGAAGGGAGGTGAGGGGACAGCCCCGCCAGAACCACCAGGAGAAGGGCAGCTCCTCAAAGCAAGGAAAACTGGGTGGATAAAAGCAACAGATGTCCAGTCTTGCTATTTTCTGGTAAGTTTTTGTCTTTTTAGTTTCTCTTGTTTTTGTTATATGGAAAATTATCCTCCACATAGAGCTGAGTGTGTGTATCCTCACATAGAGCGTGGGGTCAGAGGCAGACTCTGGAGTCAACTGCCTGGGTTCGAATTCTGGCTTTGCCACTTTCTCACTGTGGCCTTGGGCAATTAGCATAACCTCCTCGAGCCTCAGTTTCCTCATCTGTAAAATGGGCATAATAATAGTGTGTACCTCACATCATTACTGTGAGAATTAAGCCAGATAGCCTGCCTGAATGGTGGTTGGCATGTGGTAGGTTTTTGATGTTAACTAGAGCAGAGGCTGTCAACCTAACTGCCCACAGGGGTCAGGCAGGTAAGTAAACGAGGGAAATGGACCTACTTGGGGACACAATAGGGAATGGTGGGGACTGTGGCAAGATGGAGACGCTTGTTCCATGTGAAGTGGGCAGCTAGTCCTCGGCTCTAGCCAACCGTTGCCATGAAGAGACAGGAGCCCAGGATGACCAGATCTCTGTTTTCCAAGGATAGCTGGATTTACAAATTTTTGTGTGATATTCATAATCAATTAGTTTTTTAAAAATTGCAGAATGCTCAGCTAGACAACAAGACGAAAGCCAACGAAATGGGTGGATCTGGTCCCTGGTCCACTTAACTGCTGCCTTGGATGTAAATACACAGTGGAAGAATGTTCACGAAAATCTTAACAGGCACGGTCTCTGTGCCGTGGGATTTAAGGTGATTTGAACTTTCTCTGTATTTTCCGTGTATTGAAATGTTTTATTCCACAACATCAGCCACAGAGGAGACGGCAGGGGCTGCGGGAAAGTGGGTGGAGGGCACAGGGGAGAAAAGGAGAGATGAGTGGGCTTGGGACAGCCCAGAAAGGCCCTCTCTGCCTGGCTGTGACCCCGAGCAGGGGCTGAGCAGGGAGGTGCTGAGCTGCGTTCTCGACATTGGGGCGCACGACCGTGAACCCCTCTCTTGCCTGAGGAGCCCGGGACCTGGGCTGAAATCCCAACTCCACCTGTGTGGCCTGGGGCAGGTGACTTTGCTCTGGGAGGCTGCTTCCTGGTCTGCGAAAGGGCGGTAAGAGGGCCTCCTCCTCCCCTGGTGGACAGGGAGGCTGCAAAGGCAAAACGTGTAAACATGTAGAGGCTGGAGCTCAACCTCAGGACCCCAACCTCAGGATCCCGTGCGGGCGGCCTGGCTCGCAGGCGGGGCTGAGGGAGGACGCGGCCCTCCTGTGCTGGCCGGATCCCCCGGCGCCTCCACTTGGGCACGGACTCGGGACTCGTCGTGGGATTTCGAGGGAGGGGAGATTTTAGGTGACAGCTGTCATTCCACCAAGAGCTCCCTAGGGCAGCATGCCAGCCCAGTGCTGGGTGCTGGGGAACAGAAACTAAACAGCCACCAGCAGCACTCCGTGGGGGAGGGGCTTTGACCCATTCCACGAGGGCATCACAGGGCAGCGATGCCAGTCTGGAGTCCTGGGTATTTGGACGAGGAAGGAGAGAATCCTATGGAAGGTGGAGCAGAAGTTTGTGCTTTTTCAGAGAAGGTGAGGGGCCAGTGGTCCAGGTTGAAGGATCAGCAGGAGCAAAGGCTCAGGGGCTTGAGATGGCATGGAGGGTGGGACTTGGGGGGAATTCGGGCCTGGATCTAGTTCTGCCTTGGGCCTTTCCCTTCCCCCTGCTGCTCCCCCTCCTCCCGGGGCCCCACCCCTCACTCAGCTGCCCCCTGACTCCCACTTCCCCTTTCCACCCCAGGCGGTAGGACTGCAGTAGTTTCTGCTGGGGACAGGCATACACACTTGCTCATCACGTGCACACAGGAGGCCGCCCGGCTCTCCCCGCCTCCCGAGCTCTCGGGAGGAGCGCCCTGGAGGAAGCAGAAGGTCTCCAGGGGCCCAGGTGGCTGTGTCTCGGGGTGGAAGTGGGCTGAGGACAAGCCAGAGGCAAGGTCGCCCTGTGTCCCACCTTCCTCTGGTCAGCACCTGGCTGTGGCAGTTCCAGGCAGCTCATGCCTCCCCGACCACGCCCACTGGGGCTCCCCTGGTCCCATTTGGCCAGGGCGGGTCCACGCTACCACCTGGACACATGGGATCCTGGGAAACGGAGCCCCTGGCCTTTGCAGCATCTGTGTGGGAGGTGGGCTCCTTCAGCCAGGGAGGCAGGAAGGAGGGGCGGCTGGTAGGAGCCAAGGCACAGGCCTGTGGGGCCCTGGAGGGAGATGCCACCACAGGGATGGAGGGGGAGCTGGCAGAGAGATGGGAGGAAACCCAGGCGTGGTCAGAGACCCCGAGGTGAGGGCCTTTTAAGAAGCGGTTGGCAGTGTCCCCCTGGGGCGGGAGAGGCGAAGGTGTCTGAGCATCCAGTGTGTCAGCACCGAGTGGCTGGGGTGGGAGGTGGTGCAGCAGGGTGACAGGCCAGGGAGCTGCGAAAGCGGAGGCAGCGAGGTGGGTGGCAAGAAGAAAGCCAGAGAGGGAGGTGGCAGCCAAGGGCAGCCAAGGGGGTGCTTCTAAGAAAGGAGCCCCTTTCCTTGAGTCAAGCCACTGGAGACCCCAGTGTTTGTGACTGGACAGGGTCCATGGCAGGAGGAAGGGGGGCCCAGAGTGGGGGACAGCCCAAGGGGCAAGGCCCGAGGACCCCCACCCCCAACCCGAGGGCTCTCAGCCCCCACTTTGCAGACTGGGAGACCAAGGCGCAGAGGCTGCTGCCAACCACGGGATTCCGGCCCGGGCTTCTGCCCTCCTCTGCGTTTTTGTGGTTAAGGTTGAGTCATGTTTCTGGGACATCAGTTCTAGTCATTTTGGAGGCCACTCCTCTAGAGTTTTCAGCAGTCAGTCCTTCAAAAGAAATCCGAGACTTGAGCCTTTCAACTTGGGTCCGCTCTGTCTACCGTGCAGTCTCAGGTTTTGCTCAAGTGTAACTACAGAGCTTTAATGAAGTGTTCTCGCGAGTTCCCCTTTCCTGCCATTTCGGTCTCATCTCCTCGGCTCCTGTGTCCACGTTCGGGGGCCCTGCACCGTGTGGGACGGCCGGCGCTGCCCAGCTGCGCGTCCTGGGTTCCAGTCCCAGCCTGCAGGGTTGCCACACCGTCCAGAATCACCCCCGCCCCGGGATAGTACCAGGCACCCCGGGACAGTACCGGGCACCCTGGGACAGTACCGGGCACCCTGGGACCGCCTGCTGGGAAATCAGCTGGTCAGAACCATCCCTGTGGGCTCGGAGGGTGGGGCTGGGTGTTTTAAACTGTCACCCGGGATCCTGGTTTCATTCGGGTACGAGGAGGCCAGCAGAGCAGGAGACGACTGCCGTGAAAAGACAGTTTGTTACTCTCAGTGCCCAGGAGGAGGGGCGTGCCAGCCACGCAGAGCCACAGGGGGAGCACCAGCGTCTGGGAGGGGAAAGCACCGTGAGAGCCTTTGTTGTGGTTTTCCAGGAAGAAATGGTGAGGCAGGGTAAGCAGCCCATTGGGCTTCGGATTGGCTCGTTGGAATAATTTGGGGGCTCTGGGCCGTGGGGGTGGTTCCTTGTTGTCTGGTATGTGGCCCTGGGATGATGAGGGCAGAGGACTATTTCCTCCCGGGGTGTAAAACCGGGCAGAGGTGGCAAAGGGGGTTTTGGACTCAGGATTGGTTTGCATGAAAGGTGTGCCGACCGGCCTGTCATTCACCCTGTCTAGAAGTTAGCTGACTCCCCAGCAGAGAGGCCCCCCGATGCCAGAGCATCGAGAATACAGAAACCAAGAAAGTATGGTCCACATATAGTTCCTACACTGGGTCGGCTGCCTTCCCTGCTGCACCTCGGCCCTTAGAGCAGAGTCGGCACACGGCAGGGGTTCAGTGCATCCTTCCTGAAGGGACGACTGGGGCCCTGTCCCCTGCGAGGCTCGGGCTGTGTTTGCAAAGGGCTGGTGTGTGTCACAGCTGGGAGAAGGGGCCTCGTCCCTGCGGCAGCCTGTAGCTCAGGGGGCTCTGACGGGTCACCCCGGCTTCGGGCCTCGGTGCCTCCCCCTCGGAGCCGCGGCACATCCCCCCGGGCCAGCATTCTCATCTGCAGAATGGGGATGCTGTGACGCGTCTCAGTGGCTTGTGAAGATCCACGGGCTTGGGGCTCAGGGGTCTGGGCTGGAGGGGTCCTCAGTGGGGCCGGCACAGATTAGGGACCCCAAACCTGGTGTGCACCCATATCCCCTGGGAGCCTGTTAAGGTACAAACTCCCAGGCCACCGACTCCTGAGTCAAGCCTCTGGTGGAGGGGCCTGAAAGTATTTTCAACATATTTCAGATGCTTGCAACCCCAGCAAGGGTGGCGTCATCCTCTCCTCTCTGTAAAGATGTCAAAATCCACCCTGGGCTTCAGAGCGCTGGGGTCAGCCTTTAGCAAAGAGGCGATTACAAGAGACAAGGAAACCACTTCTGCGTTTGCCGTTGAAGGCATGACGTCACACGGGGCCCCTTCCATCAAGGCCTCTCTCCAGCGTGGTGTTGGGGAAATCTAACTCACCAAGGAACTGGCACGTTTCCCCTTTTCCAGGAAGGACAACTGAGTAATGTCCCCTATTTCCCTTTTTACCCCAGGTGCCAGGAAGCTCAGGCAAACCCAAAGCTCAGCTGCAGCAACCCCTCACTTGGCATATTTGTCTTCTCCTTTTCTCTTTGGTTCTGATTTTCACTTTCATATTCCTAGCTTTTCGTATACATAGGTGATGGTTTGGGAGATAAATCTAAAGGGAAGAAAGGCAAAGAGGGAGGGAGAGAGGGAGGAAAAAAATCTCAGGCAAGATAAGAGTGCTGTGGTCAGGGGAGACCACACTTGAAGTCTTGGCCGCCAGCCTGCGGTGTGCCCTTGGGCCACTCACTCACATCTCTGATTCCCTCTGACCTCTGGACCACCTCTCAGTTTCCTTTGCAGGTTCACCCTGTCTGTCTTGAACTATTTGTTCCTTTATTCGTTCAACACACGTATTTGAAGTGCCTACCTGTTCTGCTGTGTAACAAACGGCCCCAAACTTCTTAGTGGATCTAAACAATGTTTCGTTTGCTCATGAATCTGCAATTGAGGGAGGGGTCAGTGGGGGCAGCTGTCGCTGCTCCACTTGGTGGCAGGCAGGGTGGCTCAAGGCCGGGCCTGGACTGTCTGATGGCTCCCTCACATGTCTGGTGGCTGGTGTGGGAAGATCTAACAACAGGGGCCTCCAATGTCTGGAGTCCTCGGGCATCTCCCTTGCTCTGTATGGCCTCTGCCCGTGGTCCCTCCAGCATGGCAGCCTCTTTCTTTATCACACGGGGCCCCTGTCCCCACATTGACACCCCCAAGTCCTTGCTTTCCGCCCGGGCTCTCCTCTGACTCCTGATCTACATTTCCAGTTTCCCACTGGAAGCGTCTGAGTGTCTCAGTGGCCCTCAGCTCGTGGGTCCCAAACTGCCTCTCGTTTCTCTTCTGGGTCCTTCAGCTGGTGGCCGCGGCTCTCACATAGCCCCGGGGCCGCATTGGGAGTAAGTGTCACCACCTCCAAAACAGGGGTTAGTGGGTGGGGAAGAGACGCCAACTTCTGAGCCACCGGCTGGTCCCGCCCATTTTCCAGTGCTCAGCCCAGGGTCCTCGTCCTCACTCTGAGGTCAGTCGTCCCCGTGCCAGCGTGGCACTTCTGTTAATCAGGACCTTCAGTTATCTGGAAGCCGGGTCCCTTGGCCAGGTTGGGCCGCGATGTCACGTCCAGGGATGGTGACAGAGACCACCGAGCTGCCAGTCCCTGAATTTGGAGTGTTCTGCTGGAAGGGCCTTCAGCGTGTCTGAGACCTCTCTCCTTATGGTTCCAGAAGAAAAATCCACCCCAGGGGTGGGCAGGGCAGAAGTGGGAGGGAGAGTTCCCCGGGCCCTGAGTCCCAGTTTTCATTCTCTTGTCCTCTGGTCCTTTCTGTTCCCTCAGCTGTGCCTTGGGCCTTGCCCTTCTGCCCACATCAGGCTCTCAGTGTGCCGGGGAGGAGGCCGTGTCTGGTTTCTCTACGTGTCCCCAGGCCCACAGGGCCATGAGACGGCCCCTCACAGATGAGGCATGCTACGTGCCTGAAGTCGGCACCACAGGGTTGGGGACAAAGGCCTCCTGGCTCCCACCTGCCAGAGCTCTCGACCTACGCCTGACGGGGTCTGCAGGCTGCAGGGCCTCCCAGGTGGGGTCACATGGGAGGGCGCGGCCCAGGACGGTCCAGAAAGCACGGGGCCTGTGCTGGGGCAGACCCAGGCTTGCCCCTGGCTCTGTCCCTCCCAGCTGTGTGACGGGAGCTAAGGTATCACACGCTGAGCCTTGGTCTCCAACTCTGCAAAATGGGACTGTTGGCTCGTGTATTCCTGAGGCCCGCCCAGAATTTTCCCTGGGAGGCACGGGGCCGCGGAGACAGACCCAGGGCCCAGGGCATCCAGGGAGTGGTTAGCAGACCCTGCCAGGTCCTCCCTCCACCCCCAGCTGCCGCCTGCAGGGACTTCCCCTCTTGGGCCTCAGTTTCCTTTTCTGTAAAAGCAGAAGATGACTGCAGTGCCCACAGGGGAGGGTGTGGGGATTCCAGCTGGCACAGAGCGGCCAGCGTCAGGGCTCAGAACCGGCTGAGTGAGTGGGAGGGATCTGTCTGGGTCTGTGAGCGAGGAGCAGCCACGAGGAGGAGCCAGACACGGGGAGGCTGGGGAGTCTGGTCCCCTTCCCTCACCCGCTTCCTCCTCCCCGTCCTCGGAGACCAAAACCAGCCCGCGGGCTCCACCCTGTGGTGGCTGAGGGAATGCCACTCAGAGAAGCCACAGCCTGGGGCTCCCCTATCTGCAGGGGGAACCTCTGAGGGCCCTTCACCCGGACCCCAGGGTCTGTGGGTGGGTGACTGTAGCTGGGGCCAGGGCAAAGTGTCGCAGCTCCCTCTCTGTCTTCCCTTTCGCTCTCCATCGCATCCCTCCTGACTGCCCATTGCTGGCCTCAGGATGGGGATGGCGGTGGTGAGTGGCGGGTTGGGGGCTGTGGGTGGGGGGTAGGGAGGTGCTGGGCTGGTAGGCAGAGCTGGGACCAGGTGAGGCGGATGAGGTTGTGCAAGTGCTAGATCTTTATTTAAATTTAAATAAATAAATTTAACTTTATTTTTGATAATTTGTTCATCATGATGTTTTGCACTGATTTTGATTTGTAAAGCTATCATATAAGGTGTTATTTATCTTGACTGGTGAACTTTTGGCCTCCCTTAGGTTCTGCACCCGAGATGAGGGCCTCCCTTGCCTCCCCCTGGCTCAGCCCTGTTGGGGGTAGGTGGGGAGTGCCTGGGCTGCAGCCAGAGGATGGGGACAACCTCACAAGGAAACTTCCTGACTCCATCTGGTGGTGTTCATTCACCCACCTGCCCACCCTCCCTCCATCTTCCACTGTCCATTCTTCCATCCATCCCTCCATCGCCCATCCATCTGTCCATATGCACAGCGCTTAAGAACTTGCATTCTGCATTTATGGCCTGAGTTTGCATCCTGGCTGCCCATCTTGGTGACCTGTGACGTCCATTCAACACCCACACTTCCCGTTTGATGTATTTTTACACTTAAAAATTATTCATATAATACTTGAATACATTGTTTAAAAATCATCTATTAATCTCTAATCTTCACAGACATTCAGTGAGATAGATGTGATCATCCCCATTTTATAATGAGGAGCTGAGGCCCGGAGGGTAAGGTGTCCTGTCCAAGGTTCCATGGTCTATGAGTGATAGCAACGTGAGACCTGAGAGTCTAGGTCACAAAGCCGGCCACGTCCGTCTTCCCCCGTCACTGCGTCTCCTGAGGGTGGAGCGAGGTCCAGAGGGCCCTGGAGAGCCCGTCGGACGGCAGACAATCCACAGATGATTCTATGCACGTGATGAGTTCTGGGAACAGGTGTGAACAGGTAATGATGGATTCTCGGTGGGGAGAACCCGTGAAGGGGGCACGGAGGAGGGTGTTGTGTGAGTTGGCTTGGAAGAGAGAAGGCCGACGAAGGAAGGGCCTCAAGTGGTGGGAACAGCATGTGCAAACTGCAGCAGTGGAGACTGAGCGGGTGACATCTAGGCACATCCTGGGCTGGAGCACTTGCTGTTAGGTGAGTGAATCTGTGTGTGCAGCTTTGGCGAGGGTGGGGGATGAGCCTCAGAAGAGAAGCAGGATCAGACTGGGAGAGGTTTTTGGACGCTGGAACACAGCTGACATTTCTTGTCTCACCTGCCTGTAACAGGGACAGAAAGGAAGCAGCCTTGGCGGGAAATTCCTCTTGTACCGGACGCCACAGAAGGGCATTCACATCCCTTGTCTCAAGGGCGGCTCACCACACCCCTGCCAGGTGGCTGTTGTGATCCCGTTTCAGTGACGAGTGAGGCTGAGCCTCAGAGAGTTTCCGTGATACCCCCGGGTCACACAGCCAGACGGCGGGGAGCTAGCAGCCAGCCCCAGCTCTGACGTGCACTTTAGAAAGGTCACTCTCACTGTCATGTGAAAGAAGGACTTGGTAAGACAGAGAAAAGCAGAGAGACTCAAATGATCTTCACAAGGGGGCCAAGAGCATTCAGTGCGGGAAAGGGCTGTCTTTTCAATGAGTGGTGCTGGGAAAACCGGATCTCCACATGTGAAAGGAGGAAGTTAGTCCCTACCTCACGCCGTACACAAAACTTCACTCAAAATGGATCAGGGACCTAAGTGTAAGGCCTAAAACAGTAAAACTCTTAGAAGAAAACACAGGACCAAAGATTCATGATGCTGGATTTGGTGATGATTCCTTGCATAAGACTCCAAAGGGACAGGTAACAAAAGGAAAAATAGACAAATTGGACTTCATGAAAATTTAAAAATTTTGTGCATTAAAAATTACTGTCAACAGAGTAAAAAGGTAACTCCCAGAATGGGAGAAAATATTTACAAATCATATATCTGATAAGGAATTAATATCCAGAACATACAGAGAAGTAAAACTCAACAACAACAAAAAACCCAAATCAAAAATGGGCAAATGACTTGAATTGACGTTTTTCTAAAGAAGACATGCAAATGGCCGATAAGCACATGAGAGATGATCAACACCACTGATCATGAGGGAGATGCAAATCAAAACCGCAGTGAGTACCACCTCACACCCATCAGGATGGCTGTTATATTAAAAAGCAAACAAATGGAAAATAAGAAGTGTTGGTGAGGATGTGGACAGACTGGAACCCTCGTGCACCTTTGGTGGGAATGGAAAAAGGTACAGCTGCTCTGGAAAACCGTGTGGTGGTTCCTCAAAAAGTTAAAAATAGAGTTACTATATGACCCAGAAATTCCACCTCTGGGTATACACCCAGAAGAACGGAAAACAGTCTCGAACAGATATTTGCACACCCATGCGCACAGCAGCATTATTCACAACAGCCAAAATGCGGAAGTAACCCAAGTGCCCGTCAACAGATGAGCGGATAAACAAAATGGGGCACATCCATACCATGGAATATTATTCGGCCCTAAAAAGGAGGGGAATTCTGACACGTGCCACAACACAGATGAGCCCTGAGGACATTAGGCTGAGTGAAGTAAGCCACAAAAGGACAAATAGCGTATGATTCTCTTTATATGAGGTCCCTACAGTAGTCAGACTCATAGAGACAGAAAGTAGGAGGGTGGTTGCCAGGGCCTGGTGGAGGGGGATGCGGAGTGACCGTTTAAGGGGCACAGTTTCAGTTTTACAAGATGAAAAGAGCTGTGGGGGGAGGTGCTGGTTGTAAAACATGATGACGGTGCTTAATACCACGGAACTATGCACTTAAAAATGGTCAAGGCGGTAAATTTGATGTTCTCTGTACCCACAACATAGTGTACACATAGAGACACAACAGAGTGTGATGGATTCACGGATCTGGAGCCCCACAGCAGGATGCAGAAACGTAGCTGGGCGTCATCGACGTGCAGGTGACCACAAGGGCACGATCTCCACGAGCTTGCTCATGGACGCTTTGAGGAGAGAAGAGGGCTGAGGTCAGATCCCTCTAGAGCTCAGCGGTATGGGGTCCAAGCTGGAGGAAGGGCCCGGAGATGAGGATGAGGTCAGGGAGGTGGAGGGACGGGAGGAGAGTGTCAGGGAAGGCGAGGGAGGGGTCAGGAGGCACCTGGTCCCCCTCGTTCAGAGAGTCTTTGCTCCCTCCTGGGCCCAGCACCCCTCCACTTTCAGTCCGTGTGATTTGTGGGGCTGACCCACCCCCAGCTCCAGGAAGCGGGGAGAGAAGGCCTGGCCTGGGTCCAGCTAATAATATTCCATCTCCTGGCTCTGGTGATTGGCTCAAGAGTGGGCCTGTGACCAACGTAGGGCCTGGAGATTCAATCATGGGACTTCTGCTGCAAAAACTAGGAAGACAAAACTTTCAGGCTTGAGTTCTAGCTGTGAGGATAATGCCAATCTAGAGCTGCCAGTGCCACATACAGAGCCTGAGCATTAAGCCAAAGCAGAGGAAAGTGAGTGGGGAGATGGAGAGCAAGAGGGATCCAGTCTGGGTGATAGCATATGAGCTTCTGGATCCATCAATGCCTGAAGCCTGCACAACTGGGTCACCCGAGCCAACCAGTTCCCTTTATGGCTGTGGCAAATACTGAAAGCAGGCTCCCTCCACACTCATTCCCAATCTGTCTCCCGCCTGCCTTCCTCTACCACAGAGTCTGAAAAGCTGAGTCATTATTTCCCAGCCTCCTTTGCAGCCAAGGGTGACCATGAGACACTTTCTGGCCAATGAGGAAGCCCCTGGGGAGGGTGCCCCTTCCCGAATAAAGGGAAGTTCTCATTAGCAGAATGCCATTTTTGTCCACTTTCTCGCTGCTTGGAATGTGGGTGTGAGGCAAGGAGGCGCAGCCGCCATCTTGCAGCTACAAGGCAACAAGCACGAGATGCAGGACAAGCACTAAGGAGGATGGGACCAAAACACAGGCTGAGCCCAGGTTCCTGACGGCACTGTGGGGCTGCGGCTCCAGGCCTGGGCTGCCCCGTCCTGACGTCTTGCAGAGCGAGGCAATGAGCCCCTGCCACTGGGTTTCTGTTTCCCGCGTGGAGTGGTGTTGGCTGACACACAGAGCCAGGTGAAGGACCCAAACCAGTGCAAGGCGAGTGTTTAAAAAGCACTTAAAAGGGGAGAGAGTGGCTGCCAGCCACACGATGCGGACAGGCTGGGAGAATGGGGCCCATGATGGAGCCGGGGGGCTCCCTCCCCTTCCAGTTCCTCTCCCTTCACTGGCTTCCCTGAACCATGGAGCCTGGAAAGCTAGAAAAACTGCTTCTCCCGGATCCCTTGCAGCTAGGGTTCTGGGTGTGAACTCGATTCTGCCGGTTAGATCTGCTCGTGAGGTCGGCAAGGTGGCTGTCCCCTTGCTGCTCTCAGTGGTTGTGAGCATCGAGGGGCAGTTGTATCAGAGGAGGCAGCGGCTGGACTCTGTGACCCAGTGTCCAGGCACTGGCCTCCTGAGGGGTGAGAGATGAGGGCAGCGGTGCTGGTAGCTTCCTGGGCCCTGGCGGCAGCCACAGTGCTGTGTCTGGGGGTGGCCTCCAACTCTTCACCTTCCTGCCTGTGGCCTCGGCAGCAGCTGCCCTCGGTCAGTTCTGCGGTGTTCTGGCGGTTGCTCCTGGAGACCCCCCCCCACTCAGAGAGCACTTCCTGTAAGCACCGAATTCCCCATGTTCAATCCCTTTCTGATCCAGATACCTGAGTGGTTTCTAGTCCCTGCACCAAAACACAACTGGTGCAGGATGGAGACGTGACCTTGGGTTTAGGAAACTGGAAGTCACAGGCGACCTTTGAGAGAGCGGTTTCAGTGGAGTGGTGGCGAGTGCAATCATTTTGGAGCCCTGTTTGTGCCTCTAAGAACATGGCCTAATCCACAGAAGGGAGCTGAGTTCCAGAAGGACAGTACCATGGAGGAAACTGAGTTTGTACATTTGGTTCCCAAATGTGTCCTTGGCTCATGGGGGTCCCTGCTCCCCAGCCCTTCTTGGCCCCATAACTGGACCCTCCATTTTTGTGTTTAATGTCTGGGTCTGGTCCCCCTCCAGCCAGACCACAAAGGAAACCAGATTGCAGCGGTGAGGGGTTTCCCAGAAGGCCTAGCGAGGAGACGGTGTGGGCTGGGGGGTGGGGGGGTGGCAGCTGTGAGGACGAGGAGACAAGGCCCCGGGGCTGTTTCTTTTTAAGATGAGAGAGACTCCACGTGGGAAGGAGTGAATGTGAGAAGGAAGTTGAAGACACTGGAGAAAGAGCAGAACAACATCCTGGAGGAGCTGGAGGAGCAGAAGATGAAAAGGGAAAAGCTGGCCTCGCAGACAGTGATTGACGCTTCCTGAGTGTCTGTGGCTGGCTGGTCCCTTACACATGTCACCTCGGCCTGTGCTCTGGGCTCTCCAGGGAGCGGTGATGCCGCTTGCTGAGGCCACACAGCCTCTACAGCGGGTGGAGACGGCGGGGGTTGAACCCACAGTAGGAGAGGGAGGAAGCTGGAGGAGGACACGGGCGGTCTCTAGATGGGTTTGGGGCAGTGGAAACTGACGCCATCTCCTGAGGGAGAGGGCTGGTGGCCCCAGTCTGGCGGGGTCGGGGAGGGTGTGTGCGAAAGCGGGCCCTCTAGCCATCAGCAGGGAACGGCTGAGGCTGAGGGGGGAGCTCGCAGGGGTGCGCAGGTGGGTCTGGAGGTCAGGTCTCGGGGTGCGGTTGGAAGGACAAGGAAGGAAGGAGTTAAGGGTGCTTTGGGTGTCGTGCAGGAAGAGGGATGTGGGAATGGGCTGCTGGTTGGGGATGTGGAGAGAGGGAGGGAGGGAGGGAAAGGCAGGCCGGGGTATGTGCCCAAAGCCAGCGCAATGAAGCTGGGTGGGGGCGGGGCGAGCAGGGCCGGGAAAGCCTGGAGGGGGACACAGATCTGGCCCAGGCAGCCCTTAGGAAGGTTTTCCTGTCCCCTGGCCCCCTCCCAGTTCCTCGGTCATGCAGCTCAAGGCACAGGAGGAGGCCGCTCCGGGGAGGCTGCGGGGCCTTCTCCGCCCTGCCTGTCTTGAGCCGCCCTCCTTCCCTGGTGACCTCCAGCTGCTGTAAATACGTCTGCATCGGGACAACTCCACGCCGCGTCTCCAGTCTGGATCCTTCCCCTTGCTCCAGCCTCATCCTCCAACTGGATGCCTGACACCTCCCTGTCCAACACGCTTCTCCACCGAAATGTCCAGAACGGAAGCCTTGATTCCTCACCTGCAGACCCTCTCCTCCCACGGTCAGCCCTCTCCTGGGTGAATGGCGCTTCCAGCCGCCAAGTCGCTGAGAATGAAACTGGCACCCTCCTTGACTCCTTCAGCAAATCCTGCAGACTCTACGAAATACATCCTGGGTCCGGTCACTTCTCGCCTCCTCCACCATCACCTCCCTGGTCCAAGCCTCCGCCCCCTCTCGCCTGGACAGGGGAGTGGCCCCGCAGGGTCCCCCGGCTTCGGTCCTGTCCCACGAGGGTCTATTCGTCACACGGCCACCAGAGGGCGCCCTCTAGATTCGGATCTCGCGGTTTCCCACTCACAGCGTCAATGGAAACTCGGTAGCGGCGCCCCCAGGTCCTGCCGCCCCTCTTCCCGGGGTGCTTCCTTCGAGCCCCACAGGCCCTCTGGCTGCCCTGACGCGCCCCAAGCTCCTCCTGCCTTTGCCCTCGGCAGGCGCCCACCTGCATGTTCTTCCCCATCTTTCAGAGCTGGGTCTGCCCTTCCCCTCCCTTCTCCATCCTTCTCTTCTGTCACCCTCCTTTGCTATTTTTCATGGCACTTTCACCAGTCGTCTTAGCGTTATATTCGTTATCTTGTTTATCGTCTGTGTCCCCACTGGGATGTGAGCTCTCTGGGG